GAAGGGATCACTAAAGAGCTAATAGAAAGTACATACGCGAGGGTATGATATTAATATCGAGGATATTTGTAAGCATATCACAGGACGGAAATATTTTGCACCCGGCTGTTTGTTGGCAGAACAACGATACGCTAAAGTTAATTGATCGAATACAGGGAAGTATTTATTTATCATCTCACTTGCGAACATCGAGGTTTTGGCGGAATTGTACGATCATGTTGTCTTCCTTAAATAATAACTTTTTCAATAAATGTTCATTTTACTTTTGCGTCTCTATTATATGTCTGGTTTTCATTTATTTTAAATTCGAAATTGTCCGAAATACTCCAACAGGTGTATAGGTACAATTATAATAGTACTTACCAAAGTACCTACCAGGGAAGTTTAGTACACACGATGTGTAAAGTGCGTCGTAACTCCCGTTTATTAATTATAATTTTTTTTTACATTCTGCTTAAAAAACAACGGCAGTCATCTCACGTAACTCTCGCGACCAAATCTTTTTTGTTTTGTATGGCATCGTCTTGGCGACGAATTTATTGCCGACTGAATTTTCATCGTGTTTTAGGTTAGTTATTTTCTGTTTGTTGGTTTCTAAACTTTACAAACTTGGGTAGCAATTACTATTAATGTGAGATTTGTGCATATGAACGATTGAATATCGCGACTGGATGTCCGATATCTGAGAATGCGTAATTCTCTTTCAACATTAATTTTCAGGATATCAGCGTTCATGTGGTCGAATAAAAATTATTTATCAAATGGATTGGTATTTCGAGACACTCTCAAAATTATTTGGGATCCATTATCATATCATTCATTTATTTTTTATATTCATGTTTTTCTCAAGAATCACCCTTGTTATATTTAGTGTACCTTCGCAAAAGAAAACTCTTTGATGTCATTGTTCCTATTAGTGTAATTGAAATATATGGAAACCTCGCAAGTGGCGTTGTGATGCGAATATTTGATACTAGGTCAGCAGCATTACAAAGAGTGCTATTTATGAATGCTGAAAGTACATGACATTACTAAACCTTTTGCCAATATATGATGTTTTCTGCCCGATTTAAACTAACTCGCACCAAACCAAGGCAAGTGGACATTTAAAAATTACTTGTCTTTGGGTAAGCTCTGAAATAGTATAATATAAATGTAAATGAGAAATTAGGTCACGCTAGCTCACGAAACAAGGATGTTCAAGGAGGATTTTCAAAGTGATCTTGTGTAATATTTCGGAGAAAAAAGTTTGAAAGGAAAGTAGGTCAACCTATCTCCTAAAACAGGGGAGTATCCTGCATAATATTTCGGAGGGAACGTAAGTTAACCTATCTTTCAAAACAGCGGGTGGCGACTTTCAAAGTGGTTCAAAATCACAAATTAATAATTATCAGATTAGGTTTAGAGATGAATCGAAAAGTTGAATTTCCAGCGCATCTAACCCTAATTAGTTGATTGCTATTTATATTTGGGGGGGGTTTGCACCGGATTTGTACAAACGATCCACCCTGTAACTAATATGGTTTCCAGCCGGCCTCCTGTCTGTTAGATGGAAGGAGTAACTAATGTGAAAGTCTTTGCTGTTTACGCGAGTAAGCAACTGACACCGTGATACATTGCATGAAAGTTTTGTCCGCGGCAGGTGTTAGCAGATGTCATTTCGTTGCCGATGAATTTGCTTGTTTTAATTAAACATGAATTCCCTTAAAGGGAACTCGGTTAACGAAAAGGCTTCTCTTTAATTCATAATATTAACCGGAGGAGCCCTTTTTCGAGTATCTATGCCGTTTTAAATGGGTTATATGAAAGGCTAGGGCACCTAACTTGTTAAAATCGGCAAAAGCACTTTCGCACTTTTTTTTTGGACTGCGAAGCACTTTCGCACTCATAATTTGCTTAGAGTTAACACTGATTGTCAGTATTTATTTGGTACCGAAAGGCTTACCAAATAGGAAAACAAGTTTAAAAATATCAGCAATTTTACTATCATCTTTTTGTTATCCTAATTTTTATTTATGTGATGCTTTTATGTGGTTGCACTTGCAGGTATGTTTTATATGAGATTTTATTGGCCTGCTTGTAGATCTTTTTTTTCCAGAAATTCAGTTATATAAAGTAAGAACGCTACTGGTACACAATAGTGCTACCTAATAATAAGCACATCTATTGTAAAATAATTATATATTTTGTGATCCCATTTCAATACAATGAAAGGTGATAGAAGAGTTCATATATCCCCAAATAATTATAAAGATCAACATTCTGTGTCTTTGTATTTTTTCTTATTATGCAATGTCATAAAATCGACAATAGGCTTATTACCGATAATATTTTCCCACTGTCCTCAAAATTTGTCGAGTTTATTTTAGAATGCTAACTGAATTGTGCTATGCCCATGTTATCTATAGTCAACATACTTTGTATATAAGTTGTCTGTTTATTCAATAGCCAGTCTTTTTTGAAATTCCAGTTGCAAGTCGTTTTTTTATTTCTCCAGATTCCAATTTCGTCAAATTAAACATAACATGTATAAACAACTTATTTTTGGTCACTTTTTCTGCAGTGTGTTAGCAGCGTCCTTGTTTTTATGTGTTTCATATTTGTCATCTCTGGGCAAACAAATAGAATATATTTGCTCTGTGTCATGTAGATGTGATTTACAACTTATTACAAGTATTTATGACATGTTTCATTTCATTACTTGTGTGTATTTGCTTGGTTAAATTTGTAGGCTAAGTTAGGATATGAGATATCGGTATTTGCGGAAAAGGTGGTTACTCGGTATGTGTGAAATATTGCTATATGGCAGATCTTAGGTTACTGAGAGTCTGAGATCATTATGGACAAATTTAGAAAGTTTCTACTGGTATTTGGTATTGGAAAAAAGAAGGCAGGAATATTAGAAGAATCGATGCAAAATTTCACGCTTATTTAAATATAATCATAACCCTAATCAGAATCAGTGTTTACACTCTCAACAAGTCTCTGTTTAAGCAGCCATTGATACCGAAGTACCGGTACGTAATTACTATTTAAAAAAAATTGAGGATGGCTTACAAAAAACCCAAATTTAAGTTTTAAATTTTTATTTGCATAATTAGTGTTAGTATTTCTCTATAGGCCTACTCAAAATCTATAATATTTAGTATTTACCCTTTTAGATAATTGCCCACTTGATAATCTTTATTATGCATGATATACATATTAATAATCATTTGATTACATTTCAAATCAGGCTATTGACATTCTAAGCATAGTGAAATATGATGTATGATTATGATGTCATAGTTAGCACAAATGTGCGAAAAAATCTATGTATGGTATATTATATATTGAATGTATTTGATATATCTATATAAAAAAAAACTTAATATTGTTGATGACATTTTTTTTCATAAACTTGTTAATGGAAGATATCTATGTTATAAAATAGGATTTTATTTGTGAAGTGTTTTGAATAGTTGTTGTCATGTCTGCATATATACGACTTTTAGTTTTTTTTAGTTCGTGTTTTTTACCCTGATAGTAAGAGATATAAACTTAGATCCAATTAGTTTAGCGGATTTTTGGTATTCAGAAACTTTACCATTTCTGGTTAAAAGATTTTGAGTCCAATCCTATTCTGTCAATTCACAATAAAATGAGTATTGGTAGTGTAAAAGCATCTAATAGAAAAACTTTGTTAGCCACAGATTTTGTTTAGAAGTTCACTTACTAATGGTTAAAAGAGAAATGAGTTGTTTACGAATATATCGGATTCAGTATATATAGGCTACCTTAATGAAGAATCAAAAGAGGGTAAAGGAAATATACAATTTATGATACTTTTGTGCTATGGCCGTCAGATAGGAGCTTCTTGGTGGATCGGTTATTGATATTCTATGTTTAATTGTGTATATTATTCATTGTTTTGTCAGTATTAAGTAACTTTTCCATCAGAATATAATTTGAAGAGGTTAAAGTTCACATTTTACCAAGCTGTTAATTTATTGCTATTATGATTTCAAATGTGGGTTACAGCATATTGTGTAATTCCTCAGAGTTTGATAAAATATCATTAAAGTTAGGAGAGAAAAATTATCCAATGCCAACAATGTGGACATCTGGTGTTAATTTATCAATATCTAACGGAGATACAATATCACCGTCTTCAAAATCACCAGATACTACAATGAAGAAACCAAAAATGTCATCAATATACACTGGTGCTCCTACGCCTTTTCGTAAGAAAAACTACGTGCAAGGGGTTACTTTTACGAAAAGAGTTTTTCCATTACATACAATTGAAAACGGTACAATTGGATCTACAATAAACTCACAAAATAAAAATTTCTTATTAAATGGTGATGTAATTAAGGAAAATACACAAAACAAATGTGAAAGATGTAATATGTGTAATGGTTCAAAAGTTATTCAAAACGAAGATACATCGAAGGTATAGTTTATGAAAGAAATGTCTTGATTTGTGGAATGAATAGAATAGAAGATTAGAGCTTTTTTTTAATAGCCATATGCGAAAACGCAGCGAAAATTCATTTGAACTGCCTTTTTATGTCATTATTTGACTTTCAAAATTATATAAGAGATTGTCTTTGAAAAATGTTTAGAGATTTTGTATTAGAAAGCTATTGTGATGGATTTTAATTGAATTCATGTATAGGCTGATGGCTCAACATGAAACTAGTAGTTGAATGAACGAGTCTGTGGTGCTGAGGTATTACGCAATCTTGGAGTTCATGGCCGTTGAATGATTTAACTCGAAATCTCGATTTAAGCGAAAAATGATAATAGATGTGATGCCAACTTTGTTACTATTATTTTGATCCCAGTATCAGCTGTGTAAGCATTTCTGTAGCCTTTGCTAACTTTGTTAAGCTGAAATAAACTTAATTAAAACATTGTTGCCTATCAAATCAAATTACACAAAAATATCTGTCACATTAAAGTTTTTTTTTTATTTATTTTTGCTATTTTTTAACACTAAAAAAAATTTTCCACAGGCCGAACTTGAACTGATCAAGGGCAGGTATGATAAAGTTGTTGCGGAACGAGATGAATTGAAGAAAGAGAATGAAAAATATGAGGCCCAGGTGGGTTCATTGTCATAAATTGTAAAATAGAAATTCAATTTATTTTGTTGAATTGTACTTCTGAATTTTGATGATATTCATATCTTTTGTTACCTTGCTTACCATTTGATTATTTGAACAACTCTTAATAGTTCACGATGTTAAAACATGCACAAGTTATAAGAATCAGTATAGCATAGCCCAGTGATTCTCAATTTTTCCTGATCCACGGCTACTTTACAAAGACTCTTGACACTTGTAGCACTTGTATTCTATAAAAAAAATTATAATATCGAATATTTAAACAAAACAAAGACAATTCATTTTAAATTAATCTATTCATTGTGAATGGTACCTAGTGTATGTCTTTGTACATATGGTCCTAGGGAATCGATCCATGCATCCAATCCCCCCCCCCCCATGGAAGTCGAGGGCCTGGTTTCAAAAACCTTGCACAGCCAATGTTACGAATGTCTACACAGACTAACTTCATTAGGGAATGTTTTACTATGCCAGAAGCATCTGATTTTTTGCGTTTTTATGATTTCTGAATACAATTTAAATAATAAAATTCATTTCTGAATCATCATATTATATGTTATATTACATTATTTCATACAAATATAACTTCCTGTCATTTATTCAAACTTTAGTTCAACGATGTTGTTGGTGAATTATCAGAAGAACAAGCTACTGCAACTCATGCATCTGAAATGCTCGAACAGGAAACAAGAGAAAGAATAAAACTCGAAAGAGAAGTCAAAGGTCAGTGAACTATCCCATTAATGAGGAAGTGAAATATAGGAAGTGAAAGTGATTATTCTTTGTGATTCAAGTCCTGTTACAAACTGTTGTAGGCCATAGAATAGTCATCTTCATTCTTGCAATAACATCATTGCATTATCTGCATAAAGAATCTCCAGCGCAAATACATAATGGGAGGATAAGTACTAAGTAGTTAGTCTCACCTAAATTATAGTATAGTAAAACTAATTACCAAATTTTCACCAAATTATAAGCTGTCAATAAACAGATCGATCGATTTTTGAGTAAAAAAGGATATAAAGTGCATCTTATGGTCTGTAAAATTCGGTAGTAACAAAAACATTTCATGTAGACTTAGCTTAAATCGCGTCATGATAATGAAATTTGATTCTTTAAAAATTTAATGTATTTATCATGAAATTGTTCGTTATAAAAGTCCTTTTTATTTCAATCCAAGTATTTAGTTTCATCAATATTAAATTCACTTATGAATGATGTTCAATAATCTTCGAATATATGAATTGCTGCTTTTCTTTGTAAGATGCGGTATCTATAACATATATGGCAAAAGTAACTAGGAACTACACAGAACTACACTAGACAGAAGAAAATAACAATATCCATTTTTTAATTCTCAAGAACTACAACAACATAACCACACTTTGAGGCAAAGATGTGAGTCAGTTGAAGTCGAGCTTGCTGAACAGAGACTACTGCATGCAACGGACCATGACCGATTATCTGACAGCGATGATGATGGAGATGGTAAGTTAATAAATTCTGTTTTAAGATTCAGATCCAGATATTTATTTTTTGACGTGCAAAAACATTGTACATTCAAACAAATAGTAAAAACTAAATATATTCATTGAAAGAAAATCGTACAATATTTGAACTGCAATAGACGAGGGATCGCGGAAAGACTATCAAAAGTCATCATAGCAGCGACACCATTATAGAAGAAGATTAAGTCAAACAGTACAGAAGTAAATCAGCAAAAATAATTAAAACAATTTGGGAACTAAAAGATTCGTGAGAACGGAAGATTCAATAAAAAGAGTATTGACTAAACATAAATATTATTGGATGCTAACTAACATTGGGTGGCGCCGTGACCTAGAAGTTGAAGCATTAGACCCAAATGTGTCTGTATCGCAGTCGCAGTTTATACATCTCTGTTTCAAAGTTCATGACTCCATCTCACCCAGAGTGTAATAAAATGAGTAGGCAATGCCGAACCAGAAACAGCTTAGACTCCGTTATCATAATGAATGTCAACTCTGTCTCAAACTCGAGAGTCGTACTAACCAATGTGTATTATTTTATTTTTTCTTAGTGGCAGAATACAAGATGAGATTTGATAGATTGCGGAGGGAAGCGGAATTCAAGCATAAAAAAGAAGTCCAGGAATATGAAGAAAAAGTGGAACAAGCTGAAGCAGACAAGAAACATGCAGAAAAGAAGGTGAATTGACTTCAACTAAATTTTTTTGTCATGTTGAAAGAAAAGATAATTTACAAAGTGAATTTGTGGGTTGTTTTGTTAATTGTTGTTAAAAGAAACTGCCGCTCTCTGTAACTAATGAACAAATGAATTTAAAATTTCCAGTACTTTAAAGTAGAAGACGTCTCTAAAAGACTTTATTTTTCCCTTTTTTCCTGATATTTCACCCCAGATTTTTCTGTTTTTTAAAATTCATGGGCACATGTTCATGTGACATTCAGTACAATTCTTTTCGCATTGACTTATCTGGACAGAGGAAGATAAGACGGCTTAATCATTATGGCGAACCACCGCCTCTTGTCCTGTTACCAGTCCATGTTAGGCATGGGATCAGTTAGCCAGTTATTTATTTCCGATGCATGGACTTGATGGTGGAGGACGCCGTAACCGATCAACGTTTGAGTAAACCACCCCTGCGGCAGTGATGAGTCCAGCAATCCTATCCCATATAATTTTATCTTACGATATTCAGACCTGCGAACACACGCAGGATAATCAGGGCGTGATGACGAGCGTATTCCTAACGCTGACACTTATGAAGCCTTCTTTGTATTGAAGTTGCCAGACGCCTCATAGCTTAAACTTAACCTATTACATTATTCCTATAGCTTCATCAAATCCAAGAAGACTTGGAAGAGCAAGAGAGACTCGTAAATCAACATAAACGTAAAGCACAGAGAACATTGGCTGAACTTAATGATGCAAGGATGCATCTTGAAGAAACTAACACTAAACATCACGAATTGGAAAAAAAGCAACGAAAGTATGTGAAACGTTGTGACACTTTTCTCTAGACAATTTAGTATTCAGTCATGCGTCGGTGAAAATCTACACACTGCTCTGATCAGAAATTTTGTTATTGACTCGGCTCCTAATCTTAGATTAAAGAAATTTCGAATAATACAACACTTCCCAAGTCTGTGGAAACCAAATTTTAACCACAGAAACTTTGAGTTATGCTAGCTTTTTTGATCATCAGTTAAGATTGCTTAGTCAAATACGTGCCTTTTCAATTTTGTTTTATGTTTTTCAGATTCGACAGCGAATTATACGCAGTTCAAGCAGAATTAACAGAAATGAAAACAGCAAAAGATAGATTGCAACGGGAAAAAGATCAACTTTCAGTCGAAGTTTATACAAAGAAAAATATGCTAGATGTAATAATTTTATATCCTTCCTTATACGGGCCAACGATGCTCCTCAATTATCTTACCATCCATTTCCAAGAAGAAATTTTGTCAATAACATTTTATTTTATATTGTTTACACATATCACTTTCTATGTTGATAACTCGAGACAGTTTTTTCTGGAACTTCTTATTGAAAAACATTTTGATTTTTATATGCAGTCAATTATGGGGCATACATGGAGCAGGATTGCTACCTGTACATGATCATGTATGCACCATACTAAGAGCAAATTCTGAATTAGTTCCACTTCTTTGAAGCTGAACGCTTTTTGTGTATCAAAATTTTCCGATATTCTCAAATTCTTTCATCTTGTCTTCATTCATTACAGATCAATAATTTAGAGCTCAAAAAGTATTTTGGTTGTGAACAGTCCTCTTTGTTTTCAGGAAAACACTGGCGATATTGAAGTATTGCAACACAAAATTGAAAGACTTGAACAAGAGTTGGAAGAAACAACAGCTAAGGATTCAGAAGATGGTCAAATGGTGCGTTCAACTTTTAGTAAAATACAATTTGGGACATTTTTCATACAAAATTGTAATTGGATTGTGTCATATTTGCGAAGGATAAAAGCGAATAAAGTACTTTTCGAAATACATTATATGAAGGTTATTCATGCCTTTGCTCAGAATAAGGCACTCCATAAGCAGTCAATATTAAGCATATGTAAGGTGCTGCTTTTTCAAAGGACTGGAATCTCTTTCAAAAATTTAATATAGGCCATTTTGGTCATACCTAAAATGGACTAAAAGACTATTCTAAATTATATCCTGAATTTGAAAATTCAATTATCACATAATTAAATAAACAATTTTTATTTGATTTGAATATTTAAAATTGTGTTGTTCTTGTGGTACAATACTTGGTTTAGTTTTTCATAATGTTTCTAAGTGCAAAACTGGCAATCAGATATTTAGTTGGGTATTTGGTCAGAATCGAAATTATAATTTTATTTATCTATGCACGACTTATTCATAATTCAACTATTCAACCATGCGTGATATTTTATTTCACAGTTGAACAGCTTGAAAAAGCAGAGAAGAGAATTAGAAGCAAAATTGAAGGATCAAGAAGAGGAATTAGATGAACAAGCAGGTCTGTATTTAAACGAAAAATTCACTCCACTGTGGGTCCACACTAATTTTAGGTGTAAATTATTAATCTTTCGCAATCCAATTTTGCATAGTGCCATGTCTCTCTGTATTGTATTACCCAAGCATTAGGGCTCTCCAGACGAATATTTGGAATCGAATCCCAAATTATTCGAATCGTTTTTCGGCTACTTTTCGAATCGCTAAAGTTAGGGACATAAAGCGGAAAAGGCTAGAAACCACCTTTGCAGGACGTTTTTCGTGGACAAGCTGCGGCACTCCCGGCTTATTTGGTTTCCCGATATTTCTTTCGCCTTCATTTTGCGATAAACATGTCATTCCTAATGCCCGGTGGCACGTGATTAGCTATTTCATGCATGGTCATCATAACCAAAAAGTTATAATCGGTAATGACGTTTTTAAGAGAGAACAGGGAGAAAAGGGCAATTTAGAAAACGATAGTTCTATAAATAGAATCGATTTGAAGCTATTGAGTTATAGCAAAATAGCTTCGAATTTGTTGAATGTAATTTTGAATTTGAGCAACAGTTTTATCTATATTAATGGCTGTTATCTAGTTTCCTGAAAATTACACAAAAAAACAGAGTAGTAAATAGTAATAATTAAAATAGCATCTACAGGCTTTACATTATGCTCTATTGAGACTGAATCCATTAGAATTGAGAGTGCAATTTTTGAATTGTGCAATCTTCACTCTCAACACTCAGCAGTTTTCAAAACCCTGATTTTGGAGTCCTCCAATTTTTTTGACCAGTTCATATAAGAGTGTGATCTCCTTTCATAAATCTGAAAACATTGTATTGCAAAATACCATCATTAAGACAGATGTAACTGCACATACGTTACCACAACATCGAAAGACAGGCGTTTATTGTATGATAGAGACAGATGTAGGATTGCACAATAATATTCGGTTCGATTCGGTGAAAATATTCGATTCGAATAAAAAAATTATTCAATTTTAGACAGCCCTACCAAGCATGAAATATTTTCGAAAATTGCCAATATTTTTTTTGTATATTATGTATTTAAGCAAGGACGTGGATTCCAAAATGACGTCATCCTATTATACAAAGGAAGTGGGGGTGTGTGTTCTTAATACTAATTAGATGGTGATCATATAGATTGCTCTGTAGTAGTGCAATGGTTAAGCAATTTATTTGTAGTTTGTTTGTGGATTCTGCTCTGTGTTACTTAGATCGTTTGATATGCAGGTCAAATACAAATGTTACAACAAGCTAAAGAAAGATTGGAAATGACCACTGAACGAACTCGTCAACAACATTCTCGAGAAATGGATGGAAAAGAAGAGGAATTAGAAGAAATGAGAGTTTCATACCAGAAAAAGGTGGATAATTTTTTGGTGTTTTTTTTAGATTTTTGGGGCTAACGCACTATTTAAAAAAAAAAGATGTGAGCATATTAGGGGTGTGCTGAAACTGTTTGTTTTGGCCTTTTAGTTTGACAAGCAAGAATATAATAAAACTTCATCCTGGTAAAGAGAGAAATACTATAAAAACATATTTATAAGCCTAATTTGATTAGTTTGTAATGAAAAGCTTGCTTACCAGTATGATGGAAGTAATAAACTATCTGTCTGTGACAATGCTAGTACGTACAAATCATTCTCCTTTGGTTTCTGACCGAGAACCTCAACAGCATAGTGGAAGCAACTGACTATCTCCTGCAGCTGTGAAGAGTTTTTACATCGTCATCCACCACTGGTTTTGAACCTGTAATTTCTGAGTAATGATCATGATTTTAATGCAGTGGTTCTCAAAATTTTTGTTCATGTGGTGTCGAATCATCAGGGAAAAACTCACGCTGCACCTACACAAAAAAAATTGCTGCCTCTAAATAAAACTAAATTTTGTGATCTCAATGTCTACTTTTCTTCTTCATGTCTGCTCGATTTTGGGAGCCGCTGTTCTGATGGTTCAATTGCGTTAACCAGTTATTTGACTAACCTTTATGAACCTCACGGAACCCGGTAACGAAAAATGTGTGCAATGAAGCATAGAAAGGAGATTATTAAGTTCTAATTAATTTTCTAGATCAAGCATCTAGAAAACCAATTAGAAGAGGAAGAAGAAGAAAGATCTGCTGCTATGAAAGGCAGAAGAGAATTGGAACAACAACTCGCTGAGTTTAAAAACAAACAACCTTTTGCAAAACGAGATGCAGAAGCTGAGAAAAGGTTTAATCAACTCAAGATTTTCACAATCCTAAATATTACCTCATAATAATAGGTCTCATCTGAGCTGTCCCCAATAATCCAAGAGTAGTGTTTAACTGTGTTACGATGTAATAATTTGTTGTTTAATTTTCAAATTTTTCTTCCTGAAGGTTGAGAAAAGATTTGAAACGATACAAAGCATTGCTGGACGATGCACAAACAATGATCGATCATTTGAAGACAGATGCCGTCAATAAACAACAATTAAAACAAATGAGAGCTCAGGTATGTAGTTTGACAAAACTGACATAGTCTTTATAGTCCCTGTGTAGTTATTTTGGGGATAATTAGACTGAAACCATATTATGATTTTACGTTTTGTTGCACTGCACACAGAACTGTACCAATTGCTAGGAAATTTTCAGTGGTTAAAGATCGTATTTTTCTCCAAAAGGCTATTACTTTTATTTATTCGAAATTTTTCTGTTTTTCCTTCTGTTCAGTTGGAAGAGTCGCAATATACTTGTTCAAATGCAGTCAAAGCAAGAAAAGCAATTGAACTTGAGCTTGAAGATGTGCAGGCACAATTGGAAGAAATATCAAAAGCAAAACAAGAGGTAAAAACTACTCTTCTTTATGTTTATAACATAGGATTCTTTTGCTTTTCATTCACCTACAATTCAATCTACAATCCATGAAATACCTGTTTGTTCCACAAGCACTGTAGATAGTATCGTGATTAGAAATGTCCAAGAGAAGTTTTAATTTAATATGAAAATAGTGTGTCCGAGATCTAACAAGTTCCAAAACTTGGCATATGACTCATTAGGCAGCTAAATATAATTAGGAATCAATGTTAATAGCAAACTAGAATTCTAAGATACCGTACCACTTACAATTGACTCTCTTCATAAGAATGTTCTTTAATTATCTGTGGTCGCCTTCATTTTTCTTTTTTCTAATATATGTATAGTTCAAAGTTTTTCTTTTATCGATTTAATAACTTCTGTTAGAATTTTCTGAGTGTCATCGCTCGATAACCATTACTGGAATTTTTGTATCTCCTTTTTCCTGAGGTGCTGTTTTTTAGTTCATTTCTAAACTCTGTATGTACGTTTTGCATTTTTCATGTGGCGGAGCTGTTTTTTTGCATCTCACTACAAACTGAAATACCATTTCTGCTTCATTTTTTATATTTCGTTATGTACATTATATATTTTCAGTATGATGAAACAAATAAAATAATATTTACTCATTCTCAAATTTTATTCAGGCCGAAGCAAAGATCAGCGTTTTGCAACGAGAAAAGAACGAACTTAATTCTCGAATAGAAGAAGATGACGATGATGCAAAAGAACTTGCAAGAAAATATAAAAATCTTGTCAACCAACAATGTGAAGATAGGAAAGAAATTGTTGAACTTAATTCACAAATGGATGATCATAAAAGAGAAAAAGAAATGCTCAATGAAAAGGTATATTATAGTCTTTTTCAATGAAATATGGAAAACAGAAGTCTACCTTTTTTCTGGTATTTTAGGAATTATCACTGTAAAAATAAATTTATTTTGACTTCATAATCAGCATAAAAGACGTTAAAATAATTGATAAAAACAAAATAAATAAAACTGAGTACAGAATCACGAAAGCAAACAAAACCTTAAGTAAGATTTGAAACATATAGAATTTAGATTGAAAGGTGACGTCAAAAGTATTGGCACTTGTTCGCTCACCCAAAAGTATTAAGTTAATTAGAACATGCACACACACATACATTCAATCAATCACGAAGACAAAATAAAATTAGACATGCTATATATTACGGTACTTAAAAAAAATATACAAACAAAATAAAAAACAGAAAATAAAATTTCGTCACAGCATATTGATAATTTTACAAGGATTGCCAAATTGGATACCGATTAGTTAACAGGAGTGAAATGAATATTTTTAATACACTTTTAAAAGGGTCTTACAGTTCCAGCAAATCATATTCTACGAAGTAAATTTTTATATTTTTTTTCTTAGATTTTAACTCTTCAAAGTCAGCTGGAATACTTGCAAGATAATACGACAGATAAATCGAATGTTATGAGACTCGAATCTAAAGTACGAGATTTGGACACAAAATTAGATTTTGAGAAAACGTCATCAAGAAGATTAGAGGTAGGTTAAAGTTTTTCCCAAAATATTCTCAGTTCTACACTTTTAATGTAGGAGTAATTATTGTTAGATTTTGATGAAGTGTATATTTTAGTGTATATTATTTGAAGATTTATCGAATGAAATGTGTAAAATTTGTTGTCAGATTATAATTTGGATGTTTTTGAGATCTAAAAATATGACATTTTTGATCTGTCTTATTGGCTTTGCTCTCACCATAATAAATATGCGACTCCTATTCTACCCTTTTTTCTCTTGACGGACTTTGATAATAATCTTTTTTGATTAAGTATGATCAGCAAATTTCGTATTAGTGTTGACTGGAAGCAACTCTTAATTATTCAGAAAAATGGTCTAATGCATTTTTATCATCATTCTTATCCTTCTCTAAGGTGCAACTTGAAAGATCTAAAGATCAAGTAGACAAACTACAGAGTGAGAGGGATTCACAGGCTGCAAGTGAACATAGAGAGAAAGAACAATGTAAAAGACTTCAGAAACAATTACGAGATGCTAAAGATGAACAATCTGATATTCTGAAACGGGAGCAAGAGGCTTTGCAGAAACAACATGAATTGGTGAGTGGGGTCAAAATCTTTTTTTTTGTCATTTTTGAATCTCAGAATCAGAGACTGTAACCTCTGCTCTTTTTTTCTTTTACTTGCAACAAACTGTTTAAATTTTTCGACAATTTTTATTCACGAAAATTTAAAACAGACAAACAGATTGGCAATCAATTCCGCTAAATATGTTACTGCGTCTTTATGATTTCAATTGTATTTTGTAGGTAATATGCAAAACTTTCATTCTGATTTAGAAAAGTTAGGCTCAAGCGATTAAGGCAAATTTTCAGTGATTCTAGTTAAAACATAACTTTTCTATATCTCTCCGTTTTACGCTCTCTTGATTACTTGATCACTTTTGGCGGGTTAAAAAAATCGTTGTACAACATAAGATTTACGCATTATGCTAAGAGTTAGGAATACGCATGCCAACACATCCTCTGGTTACCCTGCGTGGGACATAGACTCGAGGCCGTGGTTTGCCATATGATTGAGCCATCTTATCTATTTCCTCTCCACTGGGATAAAATTGTAAATCCAAATCTATCCTAAGTAAACTAATTAATTACAATATATTATTGTAATTCTGAATTCATCAATCTGATTCATTTTAATCAAGAAAATTTATTTAAAATTTTGTTGATAATTTTAGTTTTATTTCAATTCAGGAACTTGAAGTCATGGAATACGTGAATCAAAATGAAAGTTTACAAGCTGATTTGAAACTTGCATTCAAGAGGATATCAGATTTACAGGTACAGGATATCAATATTTGTGAGAAAAGAGTATAGAGTATTGTTATACTACTGATTTTACTTTAATACAGTAATGTAAAAATTCAAAGATACGTATCCTATATCCGACATGGACTGGTAACCGGACGATAGGCAGTGGTTCGCCATTTGATTGAGCCTTCTTATCCTTTTTTCACTTTTCCGAGATAATTATGTAAATCCTAGTACTGGCAGTACTCAGTATGAATGTTTGAAATGACTTCAATCTTTCTGATTCAATATATTCTACCTGATTGGGTGGGTGGGGTAACCACTTTGGATAAACTTGGAACTTGATACCTTTAACTTGCAAACATAGTAAACACCAGTAACTTGCCACACATGACAACACATATTCTACAACTTTGCAGATTGCGTTCGAAGACTTAGAAGATTCTGACATGGAGGGATTCTCGGGATCTGACAATTCAGACTCTGATTCAGATGATGGTGGGGGAAGTAGGATATCCTCCTCCTGGAAAAAAAATAGAGTACCAAGATCCAGAGTCGCAGGAGGATCAGTGTCAACATCATCCGTATTATCCAGTAAACATAGCATCGCTTCAGAGGATGATTTTGCATACAGGTAAATATCCTATAACTTCAACATATTCTTAGCTATATGGATTATTGCCTCTTGCAAGGGTATGCAAGCAAGATTTACAACAGTTAGGTAGAATTTTTCTTGGCAATGCCTTTCTTTCTCATATTCGCACAATTTTATCCATGGCTGTTTTGACATTTTTAAAATATTTGCACTGAGTGCTCATATGCTCTAATTTGAGAGTATATGACCTTGTTCATAAGTGGCATTGTTGTAAATTACTGCTTAAAGAAAAAAGCTTTTTATGAAAAGATGGAACATCTACTTATGCTTCAACTTGGTGTTTAATTTAAAATGAGATATCATACAAAGTATTTAGATACTCGTCTCCCTAATTCCAAGATAACGATATACTAAGTGGAATAAAATAGAATTGCTGTATGCAGGTAGCTGCCTTTGGTTGAAGTAGGGATCTTCTTCTTTTTTATATCTGTATAATATTTGCTTCTTTGCACTAATCTTCCTGAAACCATTTTCCTTCTCTTTCATGTCTTTCTTTTTCCACCTCTTCGACTCTCTCCTTTCTCCATCTGGATTTCACCTTCAACTAGAAGAAGAAAACGAGCTCCTTCACCAGATGAAAGTAAGTTTTCTGACAGCAGCACGTCCACCGTTCGAAGTTTCGAAAAAGAAACAGAAAAGGAGAGAAAAGAAAGAGCTAGAAAGACAAGGAAAAAGCTTTTGAAGGAGTTGAAATACGTTAAAACGAATGGTGAATCGCCCAAAGATTTTTCAGACATTCTATCACACCGAACAGCTTCTGTAGTTGGCGGAGCTGTCAGTATTGCAGAAGACTTCGCAAAAGAGTCAGATATGAGCGGGCGTTCCACTGTCATGAGCAAAATGAGTTTCGGCTTCACTGCTGGTGTAAAAGACACCATGTCACTCTGTGGGGATTTAGCTAATGACGACATAGACTTTGATTCTGTCAGCATGCCTGATATGTCTGCAAGACCAAGTTCTGCAATGGGAACTGGAGGAAAATATGAATCAGGAACGAAAAGCAGAATATTGTCCAGAGTTGGTAAAGCCGGAGGCAGGAATGCAATTAAATTAGAGTTGGATAGAATGAGTAAAACATTAGCTGATGAAGATCCATCTGTCTTATTGTATTCAAGCCCCGCAGATATTTCAGGCAAATTGGGCCTTGGAAAAACAAGATCATTTCGAGCTCTGAATGAAAATATAATGGCGGTGAAATCAAGACAAAATCTTCCAGAAAAACAGAAAAAGAAATTAGCGATTGTTGATAAAGTCAACAGTGACATCTCAACAATGAAAGAAGATCTCACATTAGAAAAAATATCTGGCCGAAGAAGCATTGATTTCGCTAAACGCCGTGAATCGAGGGAGTCATTTGGAAGCAGCGGCGAGCAAGATGACGCTTGTTCATTATTCAGCACTTCAAGCGGATCGTCTAAAATTTCTGCAGAATCCTTATCAACCCGAAATCGGAATTTCAGTGTGCAGTCAGAAGCAGCTATGGGCAGAGTTTCAATGGGCAATTCATATATGGATTATGCTGGCGATAATCAACTCGATGATTATAATAACGTTGACACACTTACAAGAGGTCGTCCATCCTCTAGAAACTTCTCAAGAACTGATGCCGATTTGTCTGAAATTCAGGTTCCTCGGAGAAGCAGATTTTTGAAAGATTTTAATTTTGGCACAAGCAGTCAAGTAGATGTGAGATCTGCAAATTCAAAAATAAGACAGAAGTCGAGGAATTTTAATAATGATGAAGATTCTTACTATACGGATGGGGAATATACCATCCCTACTCGCATTGATCGACGAAGAACAACCTCGGCATCACATGGATTCGATCAAAACGATTTCTCTGGATCAATTTCAAATTTAAGGCTGTCTCGAAAAACAGGAAACTTCGATTTTGATTCATGGTCTGATTTAGACGAAGATTATAGCAAAAGTTCTCCGATTCGAACCTCTTCAAGAATGTCTGGTAGAAATCCACAATCTGCGAAACGAATCTCTCCACGTGATGTGTCAAAATACCTTGGGTCTGTCATAGGTAGCCGCTCATCAGGATCTTGGGAAAGCGACAATCGCTCAAATAATAGTTTCGATGACGACGATGTTAGTTTGTCACAATATGGTATTGACGATAACAATTTTGATCATTCAGATATCCAGCCTACACGACAAACTAGCAGACAATCATTTAGTCAACAGAAGATAGTTGGTACCAGAAGCAACCATGGCATGAATATGATGCCACACATGCTAAATGTCAGACCAAACAGTAAATCTGGTCAACGATTTGATTATGAAGATGTTGGATCCCCTCACGAACGAGGTCGCTCAGTTTCTCGCACAGGCAGAGATAATTTTCGGTCCGCATCAGCTGCTTCATTTCAACAACGTGGCATGTCAGTAGATGCTCGCTCACAACAATCAGCTGCTGTTAGAACAAGAAGTTCGTCAAGGTCTGGAACTCGAAGTCGCATGCAAGAGCGCACGGCACCTGACACTACAACTCTTGATGATAGTGACATCAGTATTGATAGCATCATCAGCAAATATCTATATAAAACATGATGGCACTTTACATGGATGTGCATTTCTTTTTAGCAAAATCTCTATCTGTTGTACATATTACTTTCTTTCTTTCTTTGTCTTTCTGCAGCCTTTGTATGTAAATTTCCTGTTTACTATCATGATCTTCTATCTCCTAACTTCTTATTTAACAAAAGGTGAATAGAATTTATTTTTTTATTTTAGTATCTAGATACGCATTGAGTATTTTTTCACCGTTAAGACTTTAGATAGAACTCTTGACTTTTAGTTGGCTATGCCAAGGACCTAGTAGAGGTCCATTGTTGTTAAATATTCTTGTTGAGTGTTTCATACCTTTGCTTTAGGACCCTGTTTTACAAAAGCGCATTTCAAGTAATAGAAGTATACAACCCAGCCCTTTTAATGTTTAGTTAATTGACTTAAGGAATAACATCTCTTTGCATAAAATAGCAAGTGTATTCATTTCAATTGAATTTTATCTCATTTTTACAGATCAAGAAAATATTCTGACAGCTCGGATAAATCGTCAGAGCATTCCGCTGTTGTCGCACCTACTTTCACTAAGCATGATTCAGATGAAGATATTTAACCATGAAAAACTATGAACTTTTCAAATTATATTCCTTCTGTCAAGCATGAGTTTAGGGTATTTGATTGCGTAACCATGCTCAGCTGTGTATGTTCAAAACGTATCAACCTGAATTTTCTTTTTTGCTCATCTAAATATAAGCGTAACATCTTATTTATCAAAAATCTTTCTAAAAATTTAATTGAAATTTATTCATATTATTATTACTTTCTAACGTCACCATAGATGATTTTAACATGATTTTCTCATGAATCTATTGTTTGTGTTTGCTAGAATTTTATACAAAATATTTTGATTTTACTTTTTTGTCAGTGATATTATTTTTGTGCTTTGGCAATGGAGTTTCTCGAAATTCGTATAACTGTTATTAAATAATTTTTCATAGTATAGATACGTGACTAAAATACAGCATCAATTTGGCTGGTAAAATGAATGCTTCTGCCTTAAAACGTATTATCAGCTTCATGAAAACAGTATCAACTATTCATAAATTAACTGTTTTTTGTTTTAAACAAATCATTTGTGTATATGCACGTACCGTAAATTTTATTTTTTCATAGTTCGGGGTGAAAAAGTTCTCTGATTTTGGCACACCGGCTTAGAAGACGCACAATCGATTTTAGATAAAATTGAATTTTTGAAGTGCACCTTATTTATGGTCCTTAAAATACGGTGCTTTGATGACATTGTTGTCCAATGCAATTATACCAATCACATAAACTTCATAGTGGATTTTATTTTATAGGTTATTCTTGCCTTATTCTTTAAAATTAGTGATGTGTGATCAGTCTACTTTGAATTTAGATGAAATATTAAAATTGTGGTTTGGATGATTAGTAGTTTTTAAATTTTACACATAATCATAAATTTTTGAACTTTGTCAAGATTTTTCAATAAATCTACTCTATTGTATCATTGCATCTTGATATTGTTGCAGAACTTGTAATATCACTCCATGGTGACTATTGGTTTTTATTTGCTTCAATGAATTAAACTTTACGTTAGGCCCACTTGCCCAAGTATGTGATGAGTGACAAAACTCTCTCCAGGTTGACTGCAATTCACAAAATATTGAGTTATCTAAAGCAGTGGGTATGGTGGTAGGTTGGTTGGCTTCATTGTGAAGTGAGTTTCTCAAGGTGGTTTTACATTGTATGTCAAAATTTTGGTTTCCTGCAAAGGATTTAAACAGGGTTCAATCATATTACCTGGTTCATACCGTAGATCATGGAAAGGAAATGCTAGAATGACCCACAAGCAATGCTTTAAGTTTAAAGCACTTTTGCACTGTAAGTAACACTACGTACGTAAATACATCTGTTTCCTATGACAGTGTTTACTTCGGGTAGATGTCATGTGTTCTAACTTCTGCCATGCAACATCTCTTTGACAAACTTTTTATGTGCGAGTACTCTTCTTGCTTTTAGATTCTAAACAATGACATGTTTTGTTTGATTGACGTTGTCAAACAATATTTGACGCAATTCAAAGCACATTAGCATGTTGAACTTTTCCAGAAATAGAAATATATATTTGGGCATGAGGAGAATCCGGAAAATATTGATGATATATAGAAATTTGTTTCGAATTACAAAAAAATATCTTAAAGTCCATATTTTTAAAGGCGCCTAGTATAAAACTGTCCGCTAGATGCTGGATAAGTAGCTGAAATAATCTTTTGGGATTCAGTATTCTCGCAGAATCACAACGTCAATAAATCAATCTATTGGAAACATTAACGTTTTGCTTCCAAAGTTTTGCATACGTGTATGCAAATAAACTGTTTGTTCTACATGAGGATATAAGTGCTTCATAAAAAACAATGAATTATAGAATACTCTGAATTTTGTAACTTTATCACGAAAAAATCAATTTTTAAGACTTACGATGGTCATGCCATCTGAAGCGCACTTTCAATAGATTCGAAATCTTTTATTGTGATATAATTTATACGGATATGACAGCTCTTGATTAAAATATAATAATCTTAAATTGGTATTTAACTCAACATTTGTGTTTTTGCCTTGAATGTGATGGAAATACACTCAAAATATTTAGTACTTTTTAAATTTTACCATACTGAAGTGGATTCAAATGTTTTGAGAAATTCCAAATTCGGAAATAAAAATTTTCGACTCTGAGACCTATGACGAAACGTTATGAACTGGATGATTATTAATGTCTAATTGATTATCTTATAAAATGAATGCAAACTTCACCAAAATTCCCAATATTCGACCAACAGAAAACTCGGAATATCGATGGATGTTACTACAATTTTTATTGCGATGTTGTCTCTATTAATTTAACGCGAATTCTAATTTTTACACTCGGGATTGGAAAAAATCGATATAATGCGAATATCTTTTGAATATATTTAATTTTTACAAAGTTGACAACACTCAAATCTCAAAAATTGCTGGATATCACAAATATATTTTTTACCATAATACCTTCTGACATTGGTCCTCTCTCTATTTAACGCAAAATTCAGGGTCTTGAACTTGGAACCGGAATTCTTTAAATGATGCAATTATCTGATAAACATGAGGGCCATATATGGACACGAGAACCGAAACGAAACAATTCACCATCAATTCCCAGAAAACCATGCAATGTGCTTAACGAAGCTGTATTTTAAAACAGCTAATGTACGATAACTTACCAGTATGTTTAAAATGTTCGTTCCAATTTGAAAATTTTGTCCGAAATCAGGCAATCCAATACACTGCGCTTTTTAGCCTAAATATGTGGACTCTTTGACTAGTTTGAAGACAGGCAATGATATGCCAATTCATAAATTTTGTCCTAAGTTAGGCAATGTCATGCAAATTTAAAATTTTTGTCCGGAATTTTGCAATTCCATTTTTTTGGTTAATGAAATTTATTCCACTACCAGACATTTGATATGCTCGACACTTACGCTATTAGAACTGAAATCTTCAATATGTTTTCTGTTTATAATACAGTAATAGTTTGTAACGAAACTTTCTTTATGAAAAAGCCTGCGACTTGTTCTTCGCGACTTACCGTACCTCGATGAGCAACACATCGCTTAAAAGGCGCGCTATTCCTAATTTTGATCAGGTCATCGTACACGGAAAAAAAATTCCATGAATCCCACAAAAACTTTGGAAAGGAATAAAAGTTATAGCCTTCTAGCGAACAATACAATCTTTGACCACTGGAAATTTCAAAGCAATTGTTCCAGTATTTAGAAAGAAAAATAAAAGATCAGAAGAAAATAACAAGTACAACATAATAACAAAACAACATATTATCACCCTGATAAAACATTAGGTTCAATTTTTTCGAAATTTGGCAGGAATTTCGCTTGAATAGCGATGGTTCTGGAAACATCAATGCACTTTCTTCACCAAAAAATTGTACGACATCTTAACGTCAAAAAACGACAACATAAGGAAAATCCAGTTTCTAATCAATGTACATGTATTGTTAATATAAAAAATAAAACCAATGAGCAACGGTGAATAATCGAATCACAGTTGAAAATAAGTGAATAGAGAATTCCTGTTCACCAAATGGTGTAATTCACAGACTCCGTGTTCTTTTCAGTTTTTTATAAAAAATGGCATTCTTGCATATTGTACTTTCTTGTTGTACCATAATGGTTCATTATAGAGATGGATATTGGCATTAGATGTTAATTCCTTATATATGTACCAGGTACAAAGTGTATCCTTAATTGTTATAAAATGAAGATTTTTTATGAAACGAGAGTTATACCATAAATTTCCTTTCAGTAAACAATGTATTTCTATATCACGTAAATAATAAAGTTCAATGGTTTTCCAAATAATCTCTTTTGACTCATCTATGAGGTGATACAACCATTTCAGTTTTTGAAAAATAAAGGTACTTTCAACGTCTACCATTTCAATTCCACCTTTCATTTTTGGGCCAATCAATGTTTTACGTTTGATTCTTTCCCAATTTGAATTCCATAAAAAACGAAATATAAAGAATTCAGTGATTTAACAAATTTTTTGGGAATAGTAACAGGTAAAAATGTAAATTGATATGTAAAGAGCGATAGAATTCATGATTTGATTACACATACTTTTCCTAGAATTGTTAAATTTCTCCTACGCCAAATTTGAATAATGTTTTGTACTTGCTGCAACATAAACGGTAAGTTAAGTTCATATAGTTGTTTCAAATCAGCCGTAATTGTAATTCTCAATACTTTAAACTCATAAGTCCAGTTGAGATTGTGATGAATATTTTGTTCAATTATGCCACATTCAGTTCCCAATATTCATTGCTTGTGATTTTCAGCATTTGTTTTGCATCCTGATACAGTTCAGCTGTTCGAAATAAGGTTTCAATGCTTTTAGATGAATCATCAGTGAAGACTATTGTATCATCTGCAGCTAGGGCTATTTTAATTTCGTTTTCTGCAATTTTATATCCAGTGATATCTTTATTATTACGAACCATCGTTGCGAAAATTTCTATTACTACAAAGAATAAATACGATGAGATTGGGTCGCCCTGATTAAGCCCGAATGCTATTAGCGACTGGAACAGGAAACACCATACGACACTATCAAATATCCAATCCAATAATTGTACCAGGTATTTCATTGTATGTTGTATGGTTTATTATATCGCAAAGTAATCGTATGTTTTCTCCCATTTGTCTGTTTTGAATAAAACCTCTTTGATCTTTGTGAATTATATTGTTCATTACTGTTTGGATTTGTGTCGTGAGAACTTTACTTAAAATTTTGTAATCCGTATTCAATAGCGTAATGGGTAGATAGTTTTTTAAATTATCGGCGTCTTTTCCTTTCTTCAATATGAGGGTTATTATTCCATCACATTGAGTTTGGCTCATGTGACCAGTGATACACGCCTGGTTATAACATTTCAGCAGAGAGTCTTTCAAATCTTCGCAAAAGATTTTAGGTTAATAACGACCAACTCGACTTAATAGCGCAGACATGCGGAGATAATATCATAACAACACAATTACACTTGGATATATAAAACAAGCCCATATTTGTCTGTGATGATAGATCGTCCGGAAAAAGAGCGTTGACAATGTAGTCATTTTTTCCTAACTCAGGCTTTTTTGTCGTTGTTTAATTGACCCCCGTGTCCATAAAATTAGACATTGTCTTCCCTAATATATATACGAATCATGGCAGAGCCCACAAACACTAAGACAGACACCTGGAAATTATACATTGTGAATAAAATAGTGTTTGCGTCCCAACGCCGCATCATCTCTTCTCCTTGTTTCGATGCAAGTTTCAATGACTTGCGCCATAAAATACATGCGTATAATGAAAAGAATTGTTCTATTCACAAAAGTCTAGTAATACTTTTTGGCGTTAGGATATTATACTTGTTGAAGGAGCAACTGGAACGCGTATTTAATTGAAACATTCTACGCAAATTGTTGAAATTAACTTTGGTTTGAAGATGAATGGGGTGATTTCCGAGTGCAATTATGCCTGAACACAAGTTTTAACAAATTTTGATGATGGCTGATCTTCGGTTTTCAATTATCCACTTCTTACAGGATGTAATCACAAACATTGTTTTGCTTACAATTTTTGAGCATCTATTATCTAAACAATGACATGTTTGGTTTGATTGACGTTGTCAAACGATATTTGACGCGAGTCAAAAGTCGAGTTGCACATTGGCATATAAAACTTTTCCAGAAATAGAAATATTTATGCATGAGAAGAATCCGGGAAATATTGATGATATATAGAAATTTGTTTCGAATTACAAAAATATATCTCAAAATCCATATTTTTAAAGGCGCCCAATATGAAACTGTCCGCTAGTTGCAGGGGATGTAGTTGAATTATTTTTTGGAGATTCAGTATTCTCGGAGAATGACAACGTCAATCAATCAATCAATCAATCTATCGAAACATCAACATTTTGCTTCTAAAGTCTGCATACGTGTATGCAAAATAAACTGTTTGCTCTACAATAAAGATATAAGTGTTTCATCGAAAAACAAATGTTTTACTTGTGTTTAATATGCATGTGTGATGTTCACACTCTTTGAGGCAGGGGTAGGCAACCTAAGGCCTGCGGGGCGAGAATCCTGCCCGCGACGTTTCACTGAAATATAGTAACAAAACACCCGTTTCGACGATTATATTCTATACGTAACAGAATTTATTGTGAGACGAGCAAATAAAGCAAATCATAACTATAGCGATTAAAAAAAAACGTTACAAACTTGGCGCAAGACTCATTGCTGCTAAAAGGTCGCAAGTATGCAAGTATGCAATTATTTCGCTCACGACCAACTCGACCTAAAAGCGGGGACAAGCGAAAATGATATTATGACAACACAATTACACTTTGATATATGAATCAAATCCATATTTGCTTGTGATAATAGATCGTCGTAAAAATGGCGTTGAAAATGTAGTTATTTCTTCTTAACTTAAACTTTTTTTCGTTGTTAATTGACCCTCGTGTCCATAAAATTGGACATTGCTCTCTTATATATATACGAATCATTGAAAGGTCTACAATTATTAGAAAGACAACAGTAATTACACATGGTAAATAAAATAACTGATGAAAACCCTTTTTCTTTGAAGGAGATCACAGGTCATGGAAGTTTAAGGACCGCTGTTAGGATAGGATAGGATTCACATATTTATCCCGGGGGAGAAGAAAGCCGATAAGACGGCTTATCCATATGGCGAACCACGGCCTCTCGTCCGGTTACCATTCCAAGTCCGGTATGTGATTAGTTATATTGTTTGTTTTTGAAAGCATGGACTTGGTGGTGGAGGAAGCTGTAACCGACCAGCCGTTACGTGAACCACCCAGCGACGGCGAGGAGTCCAGCAATCCGCTCGCACATAACCATCCCTGCATGGGATTCGAACCTGCGAACCTACGCAGAGTAATTAGAGGTGCGGTGGCGAGCGTATTTCTAACGCTTCACCCGTTGAGCCACACCGCCGCGCCTGTTCTAGTTGCTGACGCGCCAACGTCGCATCATCTCTTCTCCTTGCTTGGATGCAAGTTTCAATGACTTGCGTCAGGACATACGTGTGCATAATGACGAGAATTGTTTTATTCAAGAAAGTCTACAAATAGATTTCGACGATGAGATTTTATACTTGTAGATAGAGCAACTGCACCGCGTTTTTTATTAAACATTCTTCGCAAATTGTTGAAACTGACTTCGGTTTGAAGATGAATGAAGTGATGTTCGAGTGCAATTATGCCTGAACACGAGTTCTAACAAATTTTGATGATGGCTGATTCTCGGTTTTCGATTATCCACTTCTTAAAGGGTGTAATCACAAACATTGTTTTGCTTACAATTTGTGAGCATCTATTATCTAAACAAAGACATGTTTTGGTTTGATTGACGTTGTTAAACAATATTTGAAGCAATTCAAAAGTCGACACACATTAGCATGTTGAACTTCTCCAGAAATAGAAATATTTATGCATGAGCAGAATCCGGAAAATATTGATGAAGTATGGAAATTTCGTTCGAATTACAAAAAAAATATCTCAAAGTCCATATTTTTGAAGGCGCCTAATATGAAACTATCCGCTAGATGTTAGGTAAGCAGTTGAAATATTCTTTTCGGATTCAGTATTCTCGGAGAATGACAACGTCAATCAATCAATCAATCTATCGAAATATCAACGTTTTGCTTCCAAAGTTTGCATACGTGTATGCAAAATAAATTGTTTGTTCTAACATACGGATATAAGTGCTTCATCGAAAACAAACGTTTTAAATGTGATATCATTTATACGGATATGACAGCTCTTCATCAAAAATATAATAATCTTCAAAATTGGTATTTAACTCGACATTTTGTGTTTTTGCCTTGAATGCGATGGAAATTCACTTAAATTATTTAGTACTTTTCAACTTTACCATGTTGAAGTAGGATTCAAATGTTTTGAGAATTCCAAATTCCAAAATAAAATTTTCGACTCCGAGACCTGTGACGAAACGTTATGAAACTGGATATTTCAACTTTATTGGTGTTGTCTCGACATTAATTCAATCGTTATCTTTTCATTTGGGGGTTGGTGGTTGGCGTTAGATATATATAATATATGTTTAAATGCCAGCAATTGAACAGAACATAAAATTCGTTTTGAAATTAATTGGACTATTCTACACTAATTTCTGCTTTATCATTTTGAAGGTGAAAAAATAGTTCCAACTCCAATACCACTGACAACGAGTGAAATATTCTTCGTGTGCAAAATTCATGTTCAAATAACTCATATTACAGTGTTCAATCATTATGGCTATTTCAGATACATTGTTGATGCTCATATAATCAGGGAAAATTTTTGATTGATTGACGCTGTCAAGCATGAGAACGTCAATCAATCTATGATTCAAAAGTCGTACATTTTGATTGTTAAAATAATTGTATGCGTATGCCAATAAGTAAATAATAAAAATAAAGTGTCGTTGAAAAACTGCTATGTTTTTAGTAATGCTCTTCAATTGGATGTAATAGCTGTTGACTAACTATCTTCAATCCTGAAGTTATATTTATATAAACAATGCGCACTGATGAAGTGAATAGCTATGCCGAGGTGGTATCCTATTAGTTGAAAAATAATGTACTTCACAATATAAAGATTAATTAACAATTACCATTTTACTAAATGCACAATGATGGAAGATTTAAATGAAATAAACTGAACTTTCTGTTATAACTACGGCATAGCGATTCGAGGCAAACATTTGTTGCGCTTATGACAATTTCAATCATTGTGGTCGAGACAAGAGATCACTAATGTAACATTAAAACCCAAATGAGCTGATACTTGAATTTGGAGGGAGGGGAGAAATCCTATATATACAAGCGCACAACAGGGCTTTGACAAGTCGTTGTTCAACAACCTGAATAAAGACGATCATGAAGATTCTATTGTTACTTCTAGGCTGTTTGGCCGTAAGTATTTGATAAATAGTGCCCTTCATGTCTTTTTATCAATTTTGCCAAAATTATAATGTTTACAGGTTGCCAATGCCGCTTTATACCAACCAAGTCATTGCGGATATGTTACTTACAATGTCGGGCAATTTTACCGAATCAATTACGGATGTTACAGTTTCCGAAGCTACTACTGTCCTGCTTGGTTCACAACGAAATATTACTCTAATGTTCTGAAGAGCTATCCAGGAGAGAAATGCACAGAGGATGGATTCGTAGGTAATTCAGAATTGTATCTTGATATGTTTTCCTGAATAATTTGAGAAACACACATTTTGAGGGCATGAATTTTTGTATTATAGAGATGACGGTCGACGTTTTTGAAGCTGAAGTTAAAAAACAATTGAAAGAAGTGGCCGATAAAATATATCTTGATATGCAACAAAAATATGAAGATTGGGATGAAACTGCAACAAATCAAAATACCGAGGCAAAGAAAAAGCACGAAGACGCTATCGAGGAATATGCAAAGCAGTATTTGAGGTTTGTATTTCTTCTTACAATTTTTTCTTACGTATTCTTTTTTTACTCAAATTACTAACATCGTGAATTTTTAGAATTACGGGATTGCAGGAAGAGTCAGAAGAAATGAAGGAGACCAACAAGAAGGCTATTGAAAATTATAATACAAAACTAGATTCATTGTTGGAAGAGGCAAAAAAAAATTATAACGATGACATGCAGAAAAGATACGCTTGTGTGCTGGAATATCACGAAAAACTTGTCGAGAGGTGGGTTACTGTAAGTTTAAATGTCCGTTAACAAGAGAACGAAAATTCGAACCTTCCTTATTTCAGGTCTGTTACATGCTTCACCACTCGTTTAGCTAAAATAGCAGAATACAAAGAAGCTCTCGAAAAGCGCGTGACAGAGTACGAGACAAAGTATAAATGTGTCATGGAAGCCATCGTGAAACAGAGATCTGAAGTGTTCCAAAAACTCATATACAGAGCCCATTGTAAGTTTTTTCTATTCTTTCGAATTTTGCACATACTTTTATTCATAATGGAACTTTACATCTAGGTTCTGAGGATTGGAACGAAGCAGAGGTTAATGCAGTTTTGGAGGCTTTCAAAACTAAAGAAACTCAATCATATCAAACACAGTTGGATGAATACACTACGAAGCTAACTGCAGCTATCGCAGAACTTGTGAAAAGCTACGCATGCGCTTATCAGTGCGCTTACGGCGGAACTCTCTGTTTTGGCAGAAGTCAATTTTACACCAATTGGTAATTATAAATAAATGGAAGGTACATAGTATATATCAATATAATTCTACTCCTGGTTTTTTCTTTATAGTCGAAGTATCGGGAAATGGTGGACGTACAGAATTACCACCCAAAGAAGTTGCTTCCGTTTCTTGACCTACAAATTCCAATACAGGACAATCCAATACAAGCAACTGAAAAAATGTGAAACCGGTTAGTGCAATTCCTAAAAATTTTCCACAATTGTCTTTATGTTTCACTGAATTTAATATTTTTATTACACTTAAGATGAAGTTAATATCACCGAACAAAAATTCAAAGAAGACCTTGATACCAAAGCTAAGACAATAATTGAATCTATGAAGAAAACATATGCTGAATGGTTTGCACAAGCAGAAATAACTAATCAGAAGGCATTGGAGTCTTTCAAAAAGATTGTTGATGAGAGACACAAATGTTTAATAACGTATTATAAAGCAAATTGCTTAGTAAAGTAAGTGTCACAGTGAATAAGTATATCATAAGATGACATTTGGCACAATTGCTCTTTATATTTCCAGAAACAATTGCATCACAGCAGATAACTTGACTTCCCTAGAAGAATATCAGAAATCATTAGACGAACAAAAGAAAGAAGCGATTGCAGAGTATGAAAAAAAGCTTGAGGAGCGCCTTTCTCGCGCTTCCAAGGCATACACTGACATGATTGATTGCCACGAGCAAAGGATCAATGAGCGAATTGCCAAATATGTTGCACAATATGCATCATGCCTATCTACCAGAAAGACAAAGATCGAAAACTACGAAAAGTGCTTATCGGAACGGTTTGAAAGAAGACTGAAATGCATTACAGAAAGATTGGAAAAGGTTGGCAGTGTGAAATTTTGTTCAAAAAATATGTATATATATTTATATAATTCTTGCAAAAATGTTTAGATTTCCCAACTCAGAATGGAACAGTATTTGAAACTGCTTGAATTTTATATGGGCAAACCACTCGGCAACGAAGCTCAAGCATTGTACGACGCCTACCAAGCAAAAACGGAGACGGAACTCGCCGATATAGTGACCAAGATTAAAGGAGACTGGGAGAAACATCTAAGTGATCTGAAGGAGCATTACGCTTGTGGATTCAAATGCACATACTGTGTGCAACTTCGAGAACTCAGGATCCATTATAATTATCGCTGCGTGTTACCCACGTCTTCATCTTATTGCTTTGCTTACAAGCAATTCTGGTAAGTCATAGATACGTAATTGAATTGAATCAAATTTTTTCCTGTTTAACATATTCCTATTTTTAGCACGTACAAATCCTACCGCATTGTCAACTATGGCGGATGCTTCAGATATGTCAGATGTGTATAAACGCCGGCAACATCAACCGAACGACAAGTGACCATGAAAATATTATTCATTTTAGTTTTAGATTAGGCTGATGAATTTATGCCAATTGCATTTACCATCTGATGATATTGACAATAAATTCTAAGCAAATGCAAATAGAAGTGTTACAATGTGGTTAGAGGCATCTGTAGTGACCGTGATTTGAAAGTACGTGTGGATTGAACACTATTTCTATACCTTTACATGTAAAATTGTATCATGCAATAACATCAGTTACATACTTCGCAAAGCACAAAGCGCTTTATTTTTAGACATGCATGCTTCATACTCCTTGTAACCCCCTTTATTTGCGACCCGGTAACGCCAGGGTGCAAATAGTAGAAAAAGCTGTTGTGTGGAAAATGCATTTCCCAAATCCTTGTTCAAGCACAACCGATTTTTTCAAACTTATCATGAAAATTGTACTTCTAAAAATTGATAACGCGAGATGAAACCTTGAGCGATGCACAAGAAAACATCAAAATGGGAAATACAGGTCAACTTGTTACGTTCAGGAATGACAAATGTTGGATGAGAAATGGAATTATAATGAAAATAATGTCTCTGAACAATCATATTATTGCAAATTCCGCAATTACGAAATATTAATACCATAACGGTAATATTTATGCTCCGGAAAAGAAAGTTTAAGAATCCTCACGTAAACTTCACAATCTGTTAATAATGACAATATTAAATACAAAAACACCAGTAAAATTCAAATCATGCAAATCTCAGTATTTTCCGGTAACCGGGGCTTAAATTTGAAATATTCGTTTAAATTCACATATTTGTGTCCAGAAAGTTTTGCAATAATTCAAGCATCTTCCAGATAAATTCAATTTTTACAGACTTGACGACATTTTTTGTAGAGTTCAAAATTCTACAAATTTTCTTCGAAATATTCGAAAATTTGAGATGTCATCAAAATTATACAATTGCGATATATTAGTCTTCTCTTCAACGATAAACTCAAATTTTTAGGTAAGGTTCGAAATAATTGATTATTTTATAAATGAATGCAAATTTCACAAAATTGCCAATATTCGACCAACAGAAAATTCGGAACATCGATGGATGTTACTACAATTTTCATAGTGCGATGTTTTGTCTTCTATAAACCGCGAATTCTAATTTTTACACTCGGGATTGGAAAAAATCGATATAATGCGAATATCTTTTGAATATATTTAATTTTTACAAAGTTGACAACACTCAAATCTCAAAAATTGCTGGATATCACAAATATATTTTTTACCATAATACCTTCTGACATTGGTCCTCTCTCTATTTAACGCAAAATTCAGGGTCTTGAACTTGGAACCGGAATTCTTTAAATGATGCAATTATCTGATAAACATGAGGGCCATACACAAATATATGGACACGAGAACCGAAACGAAACAATTCACCATCAATTCCCAGAAAACCATGCAATGTGCTTAACGAAGCTGTATTTTAAAACAGCTAATGTACGATAACTTACCAGTATGTTTAAAATGTTCGTTCCAATTTGAAAATTTTGTCCGAAATCAGGCAATCCAATACACTGCGCTTTTTAGCCTAAATATGTAGACTCTTTGACTAGTTTGAAGACAGGCAATGATATGCCAATTCATTAATTTTGTCCTAAGTTAGGCAATGTCATGCTAATTTAAAATTTTTGTCCGGAGTTTTGCAATACCATTTTTTTGGTTAATGAAATTTATTCCACTACCACCATTTGATATGCTCGACACTTACGCTATTAGAACTGAAATCTTCAATATGTTTTCTGTTTATAATACAGTAATAGTTTGTAACGAAACTTTCCTTATGAAAAAGCCTGCGACTTGTTCTTCGCGACTTACCGTACCTCGATGAGCAACACATCGCTTAAAAGGCGCGCTATTCCTAATTTTGATCAGGTCATCGTACACGGAAAAAAAATTCCATGAATCCCACAAAAACTTTGGAAAGGAATAAATTTCAAAGCAATTGTTCCAGTATTTAGAAAGAAAAGTAAAAGATCAGAAGAAAATAACAAGTACAACATAATAACAAAAACAATATATTATCACCCTGATAAAACATTAGGTTCAATTTTTTCGAAATTTGGCAGGAATTTCGCTTGAATAGCGATGGTTCTGGAAACATCAATGCACTTTCTTCACCAAAAAATTGTACGACATCTTAACGTCAAAAAACGACAACATAAGGAAAATCCAGTTTCTAATCAATGTACATGTATTGTTAATATAAAAAATAAAACCAATGAGCAACGGTGAATAATCGAATCACAGTTGAAAATAAGTGAATAGAGAATTCCTATTCACCGAATGGTGTAATTCACAGACTCCGTGTTCTTTTCAGTTTTTTATAAAAAATGGCATTCTTGCATATTGTACTTTCTTGTTGTACCATAATGGTTCATTATAGAGATGGATATTGGCATTAGATGTTAATTCCTTATATATGTACCAGGTACAAAGTGTATCCTTAATTGTTATAAAATGAAGATTTTTTATGAAACGAGAGTTATACCATAAATTTCCTTTCAGTAAACAATGTATTTCTATATCACGTAAATAATAAAGTTCAATGGTTTTCCAAATAATCTCTTTTGACTCATCTATGAGGTGATACAACCATTTCAGTTTTTTTAAAATAAAGGTACTTTCAACGTCTACCATTTCAATTCCACCTTTCATTTTTGGGCCAATCAATGTTTTACGTTTGATTCTTTCCCAATTTGAATTCCATAAAAAACGAAATATTAAAGAATTCAGTGATTTAACAAATTTTTTGGGAATAGTAACAGGTAAAAATGTAAATTGATATGTAAATAGCGATAGAATTCATGATTTGATTACACATACTTTTCCTAGAATTGTTAAATTTCTCCTACGCCAAATTTGAATAATGTTTTGTACTTGCTGCAACATAAACGGTAAGTTAAGTTCATATAGTTGTTTCAAATCAGCCGTAATTGTAATTCTCAATATGAATATTTTGTTCAATTATGCCACATTCAGTTCCAATATTCATTGCTTGTGATTTTCAGCATTTGTTTTGCATCCTGATATAGTTCAGCTGTTCGAAACAAGGTTTCAATGCTTTTAAATGAATCATCAGTGAAGACTATTGTATCATCTGCAGCTAGGGCTATTTTAATTCCGTTTTCTGCAATTTTATATCCAGTGATATCTTTATTATTACGAACCATCGTTGCGAAAATTTCTATTACTACAAGGAATAAATATGATGAGATTGGATCGCCGTGATTAAGCCCGAATGCTTTTAGTGACTGGAACAGGAAACACCATTCGACACTATCAAATATCCAATCCAATAATTGTACCAGGTATTTTATTGTATGTTGTATGGTTTATTATATCGCAAAGTAATCGTATGTTTTCTCCCATTTGTCTGTTTTGAATAAAACCTCTTTGATCTTTGTGAATTATATTGTTCATTACTGTTTGGATTTGTGTCGTGAGAACTATACTTAAAATTTTGTAATCCGTATTCAATAGCGTAATGGGTCGATAGTTTTTTAAATTATCGGCGTCTTTTCCTTTCTTCAAAATGAGGGTTATTATTTCATCACATTGAGTTTGGCTCATGTGACCAGTGATACACGCCTGGTTATAACATTTCACCAGAGAGTCTTTCAAATCTTCCCAAAAGACTTTATGTTAATAACGACCAACTCGACTTAATAGCGCAGACATGCGGAGATAATATCATAACAACACAATTACACTTAGATATATAAAACAAGCCCATATTTGTCTGTGATGATAAATCGTCCGGAAAAGGGGCGTTGACAATGTAGTCATTTCTTCCTAACTCAGGCTTTTTTGTCGTTGTTTAATTGACCCTTGTGTCCATAAAATTAGACATTGTCTTCCCTAATATATATACAAATCATGGCAGAGCCCACAAACACTAAGACAGACACCTGGAAATTATACATTGTGAATAAAATAGTGTTTGCGTCCCAACGCCGCATCATCTCTTCTCCTTGTTTCGATGCAAGTTTCAATGACTTGCGCCATAAAATACATGCGTACAATGAAAAGAATTGTTCTATTCACAAAAGTCTAGTAATACTTTTTGACGTTAAGATATTATACTTGTTGAAGGAGCAACTGGAACGCGTATTTAATTGAAACATTCTACGCAAATTGTTGAAATTAACTTTGGTTTGAAGATGAATGGGGTGATTTCCGAGTGCAATTATGCCTGAACACGAGTTTTAACAAATTTTGATGATGGCTGATCTTCGGTTTTTAATTATCCACTTCTTACAGGATGTAATCACAAACATTGTTTTGCTTACAATTTTTGAGCATCTATTATCTAAACAAAGACATGTTTTGTTTGATTGACGTTGTTAAACAATATTGAAGCAATTCAAAAGTCGACACACATTAGCATGTTGAACTTCTCCAGAAATAGAAATATTTATGCATGAGCAGAATCCGGAATATATTGATGAAGTATGGAAATTTCGTTCGAATTACAAAAAAAATACAATTTTCATATTGCGATAAATGTTTTGTGCTCTATAAACCGCCAATTCAAATATTTACATAGAACATTCAATTCAGGTTTTGCTTAGTGAAATTTTTGGAAAGTTTTTTTGCTTTACTAAGCGCTTTATATTAGGACGAAATGACGATTTGGAATCTCTAAACTGCATACCAAGATTTTCGTTCGTCAGTCTTGACCTGTCATCTCACTCGGCCGCGCACTCCGCTCGGCTGTTGGAGATCCGAATTTCCGTTCGAAAATTGAAGCATTCTTGACTCGAATGTTTTATTCGACTACCGAGGTATCACTGTACAATCAATTTATATTGTACAACTAAATTATAGAGTTCAATATTTATCGCAGACCTAGGGATTTTTCTAACGTTGATATCTCGAAAATAATCTTGGGTGGTAGTATTATGATAAAGCGGAGTGAGTGTTGCAAGAACGCATCAATTTTTTATAATTCCCAACATCGAAAAAATACGAATCAAAACTAAATATAATTGGGCTGTCTGAAACACTTTGTATGGTCGTGATATTTCATAGTAATTTTATATTTTGTCGACGCAACCGCAGGTTACATTAACACACAATTAAATTGATATAAAGCTAAACATTTTAAATAGACTCAGATTTGTCGTCAACAAATTTCACATTAGTGGCGAGGGCTTCGTATAAAAGTGCTGTATTTCGCAAGCCTTCAGATACAGAAGTTATATAAACGAATCCATCCTGTAACAATTAACCGATTTTTGAAATGTAGGCATTTATTCAATAATTCAAGATCTCCCATTATTTTAATCATTGAGCTGAAGTTATAAACTTTTTATTACTTTCAGATGTCCCGTGTATCGTGCGCCGAAACATTAGATTTTCGCAAAGTGAGGTAACCCCTCCTCCCTTAATCCCTATGCGTTTGCCGATAAGCCAACGTAACTAAGCTAAGACATTGGTTATTTTGATTCATTGTTGATCCAACAAAACAAGATGTATTGCAAATGGCGTTGTCAGTAATATAGGTAATACTTCGCTCCCATTTTATATGTACAGTCTCTGGAGGTTTATGACTTCAAGCCAAACATACACTGAACCTTCGCGGGCCGCACGCAATTCTCTGGCGGGCCGCAGCTTCGTCACCTCTGTTTTAAATGATGACTGAGGATGTTGCTTTAAGCTAACTTAAGTTAGATGCAGAAGTACTTTCCAATCGTTGTACGAGATCAGTGGTCGGCAATCACCAGGCCGCGGCCCATTGCCGGTCCGCAGAAAGGTTACTATCGGTCCGCAGAAGGGTGATACAAAATGGACAAGACCAAAATAACACATCTACAATCTAACAACCACAAACCCCTACAACTAAAAAACATCACACGATAGCAAAGTAGACAAACACAACGCATGTAAGCTGCATTTCTGACTTTACAAATAATCTCACGTCAGTATGTCGCAATAATGCTGCATCAATTTTACCTCTGCGTGAGAAAGTTGTATATCAGTCCAAATAAGATGTCTTAAACAAAATGATTCTCGCTAACAAAGTGACTTTTGTAAGCGTACGTGACAGCAACGAAATTTGCAAAGTTTGCGACCTTTGTTATACTAAGCTCTCGAATGAGGCAATGAATCCTTAGAAACTTTTTTGAACGATGAGATGGTCTTGTCAACGACGAAATACCGAAATAGGCTGGACGCAAGCAACATGTTACGTGTATGACTATCGACCATGTCTCCAAATTGGAAACAGTTAATGTGCAGCAAACAAATGCAGATCTCGATTAAATAGCATCACTTTTGTTTTCGAATATGCCAAATAAATTTTCGTAACTCGTAATATTTATTACATATGCTCATAATTGTATTTAAGTTCGTTTGTATAGAAGTGGTCGGCCAAAATTTTTGTCAGGTTTTACCGGACCACAACTAAAAAAGGTTGCCAACCACTGTACTAGATAATAAAATCATTTGAATATTTCAATAACCTATGTGATTCGTTCGTCCCCCACTATCATAGTTATTGAGGAGTAAAAAATTTGCAACACATTTGTCAAAGGCAATTGGGCTCTTTGCAGAGATACAGTATGTACAGGTATCTGAATAATTTTGGAAATTGGACATCATCCCCGCTTCGAAAAAATCAACAGATCTGCTTGCTTGTTGATATTGTACCTTACAACTTATTTCTAATATATTATTTCCAAAGCAACAAAGCATTGCCAAACGACATCAGTATCATTAGAAGTCCTCGCCGAACAGGAACTTTTATTTTAACACCTCAAACCCAGCTATTGTTGCAATGTAACCATTTTCCTGATTGACACGACTTTCAATCGAAGCCACAAAGATAAGGCAAACTTTCAATGTCTTTTCCCCATATATTCAAGTAATCTGCGACTTCTACAGCTCAAAACTTCAAGATAATAGAAATGTTCAATCTAACATGATTCAACCAATCAAAAAAATTTGCTTATTTTAAAATTGTATTTAAATAAAAATGCCAGAAAAATAATAAACAAAAATATGGGGACATGAAAGATTTATAGATATAATAACAACACGACCCAGCACCCACTTACGTGTAGCCAATTCAGTTTAAGATGCATCAACAAAACAACCTCAGAAGCTGCAACTTTTCAATCATTATTTACCAATAGCCACATTTAAGCACAACACAATACACAAACTTTTAAAAATTCATATTGGAAAATAGGTACTCCTGAAGTATGCGCACCAAGATGTCGCATAACCTGAACCCTTACCTGGTACAGAACTTGAGTTCAGGTTGTGCGCCATCTTGGTGCGCATACTTCAGGCAAGTTTTAGAAAAAAATCTATTGCCTACCGCATTGATTTATTTTTACTTCCTGGTTTAATAAAAAAAATGAACTCATGCCCAGTCACTTGAGGTTTAAAAAATAAGGTAAGAGACACAAAAAAATGACATATGAGAATGAAAATTCTAAATGCAGCTTCGTTTATCTGAGTGATTTTTGTAAGAGCATGGTTATAAAAGAAGGATCTCATTGAGTGAAAAGTATTTTTAGTGGTTCCATTACATTTGAACCCACGACAATTGCACCTATGGAAATTTTTTTTGTTTCCAGATATTTGAACCCATACTAACCCTAACCCATGGGTTTTAGCACCCGCCTATAGATTGATGCCGTGGGCACATTGGTTCAAATGTACGTGAGTTCAAATGTACGGTCACCATTTTTAGTGTGTATGTAACATTTCACATACATATTACCTCATGGACCTGGTATGAAAAACTTCACTAAGACATTTCAGCCATGTCGCACAGTTTACATGAGTTTCAAATGACCAGTGACAACATTTACTTTTTCTTCAGGGCCAGGTCCCACACCAAGCACAGTTTTTGAACCTGGCATAATTTGTGTTCGTCCCGCGTCTTGAATGACACTGGTAGTGAGATTCATTACTCTGGCATGCTGATACAATGCCAAAAGTTCTTCTTCATTAGTGCATTTGACTACAACTTTCGGTTGGCCTGAATATTCCCATCTTCGAAGACTGGCATTGTCCCTTTTATTTAATTGTTTGTATGCAGAAACAGCAGCATGCGAACACTGAGCCGCGATCTTTCCTTTACCCATTTTCAAATCCTGTCGTACAACAATAACAAGTTTCATTTCGGAACCTTCGTCACCAGATACACTGCCTTCATCAGACGAACCAGATGATGAAGATTTTCGACGACTTGGTGTTTTTGGTGTTAAATTTCTCACAGACAACATTCGACCTCGTAGAAAAAAACCGAGACATACTCCAAAGCCGACTCCTGTTAACACATATGCAGCTGTCTTTGCCTCCATTGTTTTTTCTGGAAACATGAATATACTGATAAAGAATTTTTGAAGGAGTGTGAACTAGTTTTAACTTTTTTTTGTCTCCAACTAACACAACAGATGTTTATCGGTACTCCTGTATCATGTGTACCAAGTTAGGGTTAGGCCATAATTTTATTCAGATTTTCCCTATTTCAGTTCTATTACAAGTTCAGGGACTGTTTGTGTTAGCCAAACGAATATGCCCCTACCCATAGGGTTCCGTTCCTTTACACAACTTGATGTAAAGTAGGCGGAAAAATTAGTTCCTCCATATTGGTACACATGCTCCTGGAGTGCCCATTTATCTAATCCTTGTTGCAACATACTTCGCTAAAGTAAAGTACAATGCCTCAATCCTCAGCGAAGGATAGTCCTAAGTTTCACCCAATTAAACCAGCTCAGCAATGAGTAACAGATTTGGTGGTCTATGGAAACTCAAAAATTCACAATCTACTTTTGAGCAGCCACTAGTACAAAGCAAGGATGGACATTTTTGGTTAGATTATATGTCTGTGCACAGTTTGAGTGATCGCGAACAACTCAGAGAATCTTACATAATCTAATTCCAGTTCACAGACATTCTTATGCATAACTTGGTGCGTCTAAGAGGACAGTACAGTAGGCTACCCTAAAAGCAGAAGTAAAATTAAAATCAAATAATTACCTGTCAAACATTCAAAGAAACGAGTTTTCTTTCGAACAATTCTTCAGAGTTACTAGCAGAAGTTATAATATCATTATTAATCATCTGAGGTGCAAAACACAAATTTTTATTGCAAAGAAATGAACGAAAAATATGAAAAACTTGGCAAGAACAAAAGTTAACAGTGTGTATGTGACGTGGTTGCAGAAATTATTTACACAAGATGTTTAAAAGGACATAATTTATTTCCAAATAGTCAAATCTGTTGACAGACTTATGGCAAAGTGCGCTTTCCTCATGCTATTGGCTATTGGGAAATAGTACCTAGAGAGATCATACAGTTAAGTACTTTGCATATTGACTGAAAATACCATGGTGCCTATCCAGCTTGGTAAAAGGAAAATAAAACAGAACAAGTGTGTAATAACAGTGGTCAAATGAAAGCACAAAATGGAATGAAAAAGAATATAAAAAAAAACAGTGTTGTGATGCATGTACCTGATAAAAAAATTAACCTGAAGTTATCAGTTAAAAAACAATTGACAACCGGATCCACATTCTTGGCAAGATGTATGCAGAAAACAATTCACTAATTTTTATAGTTAGTGAAAATATGAGAGTATATTCATGAGAACTGCACTTGTCAAATCTCTTTTTGCACTGTGAAAGTAAAGGCAAACACAAAAAATGAGAACAGTGTTGCCTTGGGTTACAGTGGTTAAAATTCACACTTTTTTTTTACTCATTTTAGGCAAAAAGCAACCTGAAAGTATTCAAAGGGTTCGAAACATCTACCTTTCAATACCATATCACCATGAATTACTAAATCATGCTTGGCTGCGAACTACAAATATAACTCAGTTTCAATACTGCACACTGACACAAAAATTGTCTTGAAATTTTCATTTAACTGTCTGAATATAGACAGATTACAAAAGTCTATGTACATGATAAGGACATCTGCATATCGCATATGTATGCATGTTATCCCCAATTGTCGTCATCAAAGCCACCTCCGCTATTTGTATTCGCTGTGGAAGTACCACCACCATCATTGTAATCGAAGTCTCCCTTAGCACGACTGGAGTTACCACCCCTGCCACCGCCCATACTTCTTGTGTCTCGAGCACCAAACTGCCCACCCTTTGGACCAAAGCTGGTACCCACGGCACCTTCAGCACATGCCTCCAACCAATCTGGGACTTCTTGTTGTGCATCTGCCAGGACTTTCACCATAGATCGAGCCAATGTGTTATCTTTGTCATGGCAATAAAACGAAGTTGCCATTCCCAAATTTCCGCAGCGACCTGTACGACCAATACGATGAACATATTCATCGATTTCACTCGGTAAATCGTAATTGATCACATGTTCGACTTTTGGAATATCGAGGCCTCTTGCGGCTACAGAGGTTGCAATCATGATGGGGCACTGCCCAGACTTAAAATCACGAAGTGCCATTTCTCTTTCTCTTTGAAGCCTATCTCCATGAATACTCGTAGTAGGAAATCCTTCTTGAGAAAGATAACTTGCCAGGAAGTCTGCATTTCTCTTTGTGTCAACAAAAACCAAAGTTCTTGCCCTTGTCTCTGCAACATCACAAATCTTTTCCACCAATGTGTCTCGCTTGTCATTACCATCAACTTGTAGAATTGTTTGTGTCACATCTGAGCAAGCACCACCAACACGTCCCACAGTCAAAAACAGGAAATCATCACGTAAAAAGTCATGGGCCAACTTTTGTATCTCATCAGGAAAAGTGGCGCTGAACATCAGCGTGTGGCGATTATTTTTATCGGGCATACCAGGCGCAGCAGCCAGCCGTCGAATCTCAGGTTCGAAACCCATATCAAGCATACGATCAGCCTCATCTAGAATAAGATATTGTAGACCGCTACATCCCACTTTGCCTCGATTGATAAAATCAAGCAATCTTCCCGGCGTTGCAATGAGTATATTGCATCCACGACTCAGGTCACGTAATTGACTGCCAACACTTGTTCCTCCATAAGCTACAACAGGCTTTATAATACTGCTGCGAGCGAACTTCCTTGCTTCAAGGAATATCTGCACCACAAGTTCTCTGGTTGGCCCCACAACAATTGCTTGTGGTAACTGTTTATCTGAAAAAGAATCTACCGTGTTGAGACCATTACGAAACATCCCAGCAAGAACAGGTAACAGAAAAGCTGCAGTTTTCCCAGATCCAGTTTGCGCACAAGCCATCAAATCTCTATCTGAATTTATGATAGGTATGCTGTACTTCTGAACTGGTGTTGGTTTAGCATACTTTGCTTTCTCAACATTGGAGCGAACTGTTTCCGGCAAACCAGCATCATCAAAACTAGTGATATAAGCCGGTGGATTATCACCACTAACTTCCACTGGGATATCATCATATTTGTTGAAATTAATTCCAGTTTGCATTGATGCAAAAATCGCTTCTTCATCTTCTGGTGGCGGAGGTGGAATGTACAACGGTGGACGATCTCCTCCACCTTCATTCTTCGGACATTCTCTTGACATGTGTCCTTCTTCACCACATTTGAAACAGCCTTTAGGCCTATCTCCCCCAGAGGAGTCTGCATTTGGACACTCCCGAGCCATGTGACCATCTTCGCCACATTTGAAACAGCCTTTACCCCTTGATCCACCACCGCCAGTGCCAGAATCCCCATTAGGGCAATCACGAGAAATATGGCCTTCTTCACCACATTTGTAACAAGAACGAGATCCCCCCCCAGTGTTCTGGGGGCAATCGCGAGACATGTGGCCTTCTTCTCCACATTTATAACATGAGCGAGATCCTCCACCAAAACTACCCCCTCCTGAATCATTTTTGGGGCATTCACGAGACATGTGGCCTTCTTCTCCACATTTGTAACAGGCGCGAGATCCACCGCCAAAACCGCTACCTGAATTACCACTCGGGCATTCGCGAGACATGTGACCTTCTTCTCCACATTTGTAACAGGCACGGGATCCACCGCCAGAACCGCTACCTGAATTACCATTCGGGCATTCGCGAGACATGTGACCTTCTTCTCCACATTTAAAACAACCTTTCGAGCGAGAGCCCCCACCCGAATCACTATTCGGGCAATCGCGAGACATATGGCCATCTTCACCACATTTGAAGCATGCTCGGCTTCTTGAACTAGCGAAGCCGCCACCAGAGTCTCCACCAAATCCGTTCATTTGTGAACTAGAGCCTTTTCCGAAAGATTTCTGGAATCCTCCAGAATCTGCGTCCCCAGATCCAAACCCACCAAAGGAACTCGTAGTTGTAGTGGTCGTTGTTTGTCCACCAAATCCACTAGATGGATCAGCATCCCAATCATCAGCATCATCAAACATAGTGGATTATTTTTCAAAAGGTTTCTAAACCTACAAAGGAACCGATCTCAGCCTGATCGGCAGATAAAATTAATTCTGGTTAGAAAAAAAAATATTTTTATCATTTCTATGTCAATAATGATCATAAATCTAACACAGCAATAATTATAATTAAAATGAGGTAATATTTTCCAAACATATTCATAAATTACAGAAATGTGAATTGAAGTTGTATAAAAAGTATTTTTAACTGTTACTGAAAATAATTAGTTCTGTAGTTGTGCTTTCATTTGATACTACAATATTTTTAAGAAACATTTTCCATCAAATACTGAAATATCGGTAGACAAAGTAAATAAGCACATAGTCTGGTATACATCTCACGATATTAATTAGTTAAATTACCTTGTCGTTTGATACAATTTGATTTCAAGATGTTCAGACATTTGGTTCAATAAAACAAACACTCTATTTTTCTATGAAACAAGGGTGTATGATATGATGCCAGATGTGTCACAATGCGCCATGCTTGTCATGGTAATAATAAAAATCAATCGCTCAAGTCAGTGGGGGTCTGTATTTTTGCTAAAAACCCTCAAATGCCATGATAAATTTTTTTTTCTTCCGTTCTTTCAGTAAAAAAGATTATTTATTTGCTGGGAATCCAATGGTGACGTTTTTAAATTGAGTTTGTTGCGCAATGCTAGTTTGCCGATATCAAAGCCAAGATTGTCTCGTAATTGAGGGATTTGCACTCACTGTTGCTGTCAGACTGTTATGATTGATTTATTTTAATGTGGGGGCTATTCTTGGAATCCAGGAATCCGAAAACTATGCAATCCTGTCTGCCTGTAGGTACAGACTGACCTTCAAATTGCAATCCTGAATTTTAAGTTCGACATTAGCTACAGAGCTAGGGTGGCTTACCCACTTTGCGGCCATCAACTTCATCGATCTAATTAATGTCGAAAAAATTAACGAACCGGGACGATATTTCTCATGCGTGATCGACCACCTGTCCCTCATAGCTCTGCGAAATTACACTAAAATGCGGCCACAAACAAAGAAGTTATGACCAAAAACCCGACCGAAGAAAAAAAAACAAAGAAAGATTATTTTTTCATGTCGCCAACTACCCATTGTCTCATTAAAAAAAACTTGGAAATCCATACAAATATAAGAGATAAAAAGCTGAAACTTGGCAAGGGGGTAGAGTTGTGTTTCTTTTAACCATCCTTAAATTTTCGCGTTTCTACATTTAAAGGAGGGGGAATAGGAGGGTGCGCATTTCCAATACGTCGATAATATCTTTGTAGACCAATTTGCGACCACCGTGTTTTTGTCTGTTTGATTGCTGTGATGCGGTGCTTTGTTTTGTTCGAAATGACCGTGTTCTTAAAATATATGACGGTCAGAAATGCGATTAGAAGCCTAATTTTTTCACGCATGGCTGCGTATGCTCTAGTCTCGCCGCAGCAGAAACGATGTTCAAGGCTTGAAATCCGTGGTCGCACACTGGTCGTTCGGTAGCAAATATTTCTGCCGAGTGTCGTACACTGGTGGTTTGTATAGCTTTAACCCCTGGTCGTAGAAAGTTATTTCAAGGTTTAGCGTGTAGAATAAATGCCAATGCACCTACGATGAAAAAATTAACGGGTTAGAAATATTGGTTTTTGGGGTCTGGTATAGTTTAGTACCACATGCACTTCTAGTTGGCCTGGCTCAACAATTTTTGCATATGCCAATCCTAACCCCCACCTGACTACGTCACCGAAAAATTACGTCGTTTCGACGTCACATTGGCGAAATAAGGCCCACCAAAGTATGCGGATGGTCGTCCAAAACGCGCAGATGATCACCCGAAATCTAGCAAGCTATTTCTCTCGTTTTCCAGTCACGATAGGAGAAAGATCGCCGGCGTTAGCGAGTTCGTTATCGGCGGCGCAGATGCCATTTCGGGCGATCGTAATTATACTTTGACAATCCCTATGACGTGTTTGTGACGTCCTATTGACGTAATCAGATGTGGGTTAGGAATAACATATGCAAAATTCGGGTACAAAACTGGCTACACCCTATGTATTTGTTAATTAAAATTAATTTTGTTTAGCAAAAACGCCTGACCGGTACCGTTATAGCAACTAACCCCCAAATGTACCCCATTCCATGTTGAAATCATCAAAACAAAGTTAATTTTTCTCAAAATTCACACTTTTTTTTACTCATTTTAGGCAAAAAGCAACCTGAAAGTATTCAAAGGGTTCGAAACATCTACCTTCCAATACCATATCACCATGAAATCAAATAATTACCCTTATTGAGATAATAGGAGTTTCTGTTTATAACGTGAATCACGAGCTCACGTTTACAGTATTTAATAAGATTTATGATCGACGTATAAATACTACTCCGATATCTTTCGAGTGAGACAATGTAAACCCATTCTAAGCTAGTGTGGATAAATGTTTTAAGATTTGTATTCTGTGTGTTGTGGAAATTTACCAATAAAAACATATAGAGATTTTTAACGCATCTTCATTCACGTGGACGTTGAAGGGCGAACGGGTGACTTGCAAGTTCTGAGACAATCTACGAAATAGCAATATACGGTACAGTAACATCACATTCGTCTAACAACCATTTATGCTATACCGTATTCAGGTAGGTATTCTTTACACAGTTACAGCTTTACAATACAAAAAAAAACTTTCCTAATTTCTGTATGTGACTGAACATGTACCGGTATCATATTATCAGGTAACTTAAATACGGTTGTTTTTAGTACCGTACCTATCCACTGACGTATGACATAACAAATGATTTCGCAAACTTACAAAACACGTCATCCAGTCATCTCGAAGACCATATTCTAAATTCTACTTTACTGTAAACTAGAACTTGTTACACTTAGGCCTACCTATTACACACCTTTCTCTGGCTTTTTTTTCTATTTCCCTGTTGCGGTTGTCTTATTTTGTGGTGATACAAATTACAAGAATATCATGATAAATTTGTATTGTAATGCAGCGAATAGCGAACCGAACCTTTTTTTTTTTTTTTCAAGAATACAAAAATTAGACAGAGAATATGGAAAAATCCACGCTTTCATATTGGGTTTTTCCCATTCGCCATCTATGTTTCATAGTCGATACATCTTCCTCTTATGAAAATGATGTACAAATAACATACTTTCAATAATTTTCAGAGTATGGTGTTGCATATAAACTTACCGGCGCGGCGGTGTGGCTCAACGGGCTAAGCGTTAGGAATACGCTCGCCACCGCACCTCTAGTCACTCTGCATGGGTTCGCAGGTTCGAATCCCATGCAGGGATGGTTATGTGCGAGAGGATTGCTGGACTCCTCGCCGTCGTTGGGTGGTTCACGTAACCGCTGGTCGGTTACGGCTTCCTCCACCACCAAGTCCATGCTTCCGAAAACAAACAATACAGTAAAAACTAATCCCATACCCGACTTGGAATGGTAACCGGACGAGAGGCCGTGGTTCGCCATATGGATAAGCCGTCTTATCGGCTTTCCTCTCCCCCGGGATAAATATGTAAATCCTATCCTATCCTATCCTACATCATGATTGACCTATGTAAAAGATCATCCATGTCAGCATGTGCTCATATAACAATAATTCATTTCTTTCGCTTGCTTTTAGTAAATTTAAAATCCCTACCAGTTTACACTTGAAAATTGAACGCATACTACTTTTCATTTTATCTATTTCATCATATTTTACTGAATTTCGATATTCCCAAATTGTTGATTTTCCGCATAATATTATCGAACCTTCGCCACGCGGTCAAATGCATCAGGCAAACACGTGAGTTTGTTCGGCATTGCACGCTCCAGTGCTTACCGGAAGATCCTTTTTTCTCGCTAGTAGTCAACACTGGCAGACAGGAACGAGTCCATCCACGAACCCCGTGGAGGTAATTTAAGACAGGCCTTTATCCCAGGAAAGGAAAGTGATAATAAGGCTTAATAAAATGTCGAAACACGGCCTCTCGCTCGGTCCACAGTCGGGTACCGTATGGGAACAGTTAGCCAGTTATTTGATTTATTGTAGTTCGGCGGAGTGGTCGTTTGGTTTCAGTTTCGGTCCAGCTCGGCGGTGTGGCGTATCGTATAACCAGTGGTGGGATTCAGCCGGTTCAGTAACACTGGTTACTGCCAATGTTCTATTTGTAACAGAACCGGCTAAAAATATGACTTTTGTGAAGGAACCGGCTGACAAAAAAATTGAATCCCACCACTGTATAAAACTTCAATGGTCGAAATACGCTCGCCACCGCGCCTCTGATTACCTTGCATGGGTTTGTTTTATACCGTAACTTCAGATTTCTACAGCGCTTTTCGAAAAGTACCAACTCTTAGTTCAGAATTCTTCCGACTGTTCGTTTTATTTTAAATTCTAACGACCGGCGTACGAAAACCGTAAGGTATTGTTGTCGTCGCTCTTCTTATCATCCTTAGTGGGTTTGTAAACTCGTATACCATGGTGGATGTTTATGTGCGAAAGGCGGCCAGCAAACTCTGGTTGGATCAACTGAAGAATCTCCTTCCCGGACCCGTCTGGGAAGGAGATTCTTCAGTTGGACTCACCTAGGGGGGAATTCTTCAGTTGATCCCGTTTCCCAACTGAAGAATACCCCTCTCCCCCAACCACCGATGCAAGTCAGCTGCCGAACAAGCGCTATACTTGGCGTTATGTGCGGTACTAGCTTTCCTATCCCCCCAAAAATATTAAAATTAGACCTTTGCTAAAAAATTCTGTAGGCATCGTTTGATAATTATAACATTCAACAGAAAAGTGAAATGAATGTGAGCTGGCCACTTACTTGGATCAACATTGTTATATTGTCACTACTGTACTTAACTATCAGAACAGTTGGGTTACAGGTATTGAAACTCCAAAAGAGAGCACAATAGATGCCGCAATTACATCCAACTCCTTTCAGTTTTTACTTATCATCAACCTTCACAAATATTACAACTGTCAAAACTGTTACTCAAGTTCTTCTAATCTATTTGTAGAATAATTGCCTGACTTATATTTCAAAATCCACAATACTGCAATAATATTCTAAACGATTAAGGAGTCATGGTGCACAGAAACATGAATATATTATAGTATATATAGAATATATATATTATAGAATAATATATATAAGAAAGTTTTTTTCATGACTATCATGTTCCGTTGTTGGTCACGCAAAAGCCTAATCGTTATAACAATATAATGTACTCCTTTCGCCTTTATGTCGCGTAATCCTGCTGTGATAACGATGTGTGTTTTATGCTGATTGGGTGGATTTATAGGTCGTTAAAATCTCCAGCATTGGTATTAATCATGAAAAACAAACGTTGCATATTTAGGATGCGTACCAAATAGGGTCGCATAACAAAAAGATCAGCGATTTATTTTCAAAAAAAAAAAGAGAATAAAACTGCTTAGATATTTTCGATTTTGTACATAATCTCAATTGTAAAAATAAGGTAATTCAAACAGTATATTTAAATCAGACACGATATGCTAATTTTGATAACGGCGTGGTATCAAACTAAATTCTGTTATAGGGCCCACCATCTGTTATTTTTAAACTAAAGAAAGATAATTTTAAAAACTAAATGAATATTTTGGCCTGAAAGATAACTAAAGCTTGCAATAATACCAAACATATATATGTTGGTTTTTTTGTACAAAGCTCCGCCGCTATTGCAAAAATGTGAGATTTGAGAAAAACACTAAGTTAGCCGAGGGCAACGACTTCTTATTAAGGGAATGAATGTTATGATCGCAATGCACCTGCTGCTTTAAGCGCCCCTTATAACCACTTCTTAGCCATAATTCTGTACCAGAAAAAAGAGATAAATGTGAAAATCCTATCTTAGAGTGCATTCACTCACGGCGGGACGAGTCTGTTAAGTTTATCTTAGCCGGGTTCCTCAATGTTTTTGCTCACTTTTTTCAGATTGAACATAGCTACTTGTGCAATGTGCAGCTACCAGTCCATTTCGAAGATAATATCTAGTTACTCGTTTGAAGACTTAACAATTGGTAAATACGAGAAATATACAAAACGTTAGGGTTATAAAAGGTCGTAACCTATATTTTTTATTTCCATTCATAAAACGTATAGAACAATAGCAAGCATTTACAAAGCTGTCAATTCCTTCTTTGGGTGTTCATTTTTGCTTCGAGTGTTATCTTCAGTTGACTTGAATTTTCGAAATATATTGAGGCCATAGTATCTGTGTGAAATTCACCAAAAATAATCAGAGCACACCATAAATTCAACTTTTCATGTGGCCTTATTATTACTTTAATTCGCACTCACAAACTCACTGTAACATAACTCAGTTATATTAAGAAAACCAATAAAAAACATTTACCGTTTATTACTCTCAGCTTGTTGAATTGTATCTGGCATCCTCACTCCCATTGTTTCCGGAATGCAGAAGATCCCAATAATTCCACTCAGAATAGTAATCCCACCCATTATCCAGTTAGGTATGGAATATTCAATTTTACCTATATTCATATAATAATGTTATAAAATAAATAAATACAAGAAAAAAAAAATAATAAAACAAACTTTAGGGTGAAACGTCGAGTCCCATAGAACCCAGAAGAATTTAAAAAAAAATTATAGCTTTCCATCTTCTTCCAACTAAAAAAAAAATACCAAAACGATTCATTTGTACACTGTCCTATAACGTGTTTACTATTATTCATAGAACGCATTTGATAAAATAAAAGTTTTAATACGTTTAAATTAGTAAGTTCAGTAATTAGTAAGTTAAGGGCTGAAGAGTCGGGGAATATTCACAGCAGGCTCTCGCGATTCCGGGTGAATAAAAATCGACTCCAAACTGTAAAAAAGTGATTGCTCAATAAACAATTTTGACTTCGATTATAACCTTTTAATAAAGTTTGAAATTACGACTCCCGACTCAAAATTTTAACTCCGAATCCTGCAAGTTTGAAAATACGACTCAGGCATCGACCTAACAGAAAACTCTGGATTCTATAGCTTTATTTAACGTACTCGAGGTGTATAGAAAATTTTTTCCTCGTCTATCGAAGATGAAATATTAATGTATTTCCTAAATATTTACGAAGATATGGGTGAAACACCATAATGTATATAATGCAAGAATTACCCATTAACATGACAGATGGAGCGATAAACGCCCCGACACGACAACAGAATGATGCTATACTCATTGTTGCACTTCTTTGTAGAGTGGGAGCTAGTTCGGACGTGCTCAGGTAGATAACATAAAACACTGCACTTACGGCGCCCTTTCCAATAATTGAGATTATAGTTCTGGCCAAAGAAAGATCTAGATAAAGAAAAATAGTTTAGTTAAATAACGTTTCTTCAATTATATATATATTTGAGAAAATTCAACCTTTACGATATATTTAAATAAATTGAACTATAATTAATTAGGAGGCAATAAAAAATTCGATTGCACTTATGAACAAAATGATTTTCTTGTTAATAGTGAGGTTATAAATCTTGGTGATGATATAAAACTTTTCAAGATTCAATTTGCGAACCATTTGAATGCTCGTAGCAAGTCAGAAATCTATAAAATTCCTCTCGTTACAAGAAATAGAAGAATGTGGATGTGAAATTTACTGATGACGCTACTTTACTATAAAAACACTTATATTGCAATAATGTGTTGTTATGAAGAGTTAAATAGCGACATGTTTAACCCTCAGCTATTTCTGTTTAGGTTGAAAATTTAGCAAATAAAACATGTATAAATCATCATCCATTAACACACTAAATTATATTAATACCTAACGAATTGCATGTGACAGAAAAGTGTTCGGCAGAAATCAAAAGATATCTAACCTTCTGGTAAATACGGTAGAATGATGCTAAAAATTCCGCAAGTTAGAAGAAAGAAAGTAGCAGATCTCGGACGGCCGATTATATTCACCGCATAAAAACTGACATATGCTGGAAGTTCCGCCAGTGCAGAGAATAATATGTTTAAGTAACGGTCATCACTGAAGCTCTTTGAGTGGAAAGCTATTGCGTAGTAAACGAGACCTGTTACAAACCTAGAAAAATAAAAAAAATATTTAGTTCCAAATTCCAATACACACATATGGCTCGAACACAGCGCGCTTTCTGCATTTTCGTAAAGTTTGAGATTTTTGGTAATCCTTGATTGAAGTGGGATAAAATATTTAACCGAAATGATTTTTATTAGGCCAAAAAATTATAAAATGAATATTCATGTTTTTTGAAATGTTTCAAATAATATAAAATGTTTTTATAAGCCTATATGGTATTGTGTATCGTAGTTGAGACAAATCTGAATTATTTAGAATAAATAGCTGGAAACCCAGATCATTCCGTTTTGTTATATATATAAAAAACTCTGTCAGATTAAAAAAATGTAAAGAAGTTTGTAGTTGGCCTCTAGTCTCAACATTAAACTATATATGACGTCACTTTGTCGCCAGTTCTTGTATGTATATTAAAACGGAAAGGTTTTCTTTTTTATCGAGATTTTCCTACCTTTCGTTGAACAATCTAATCAACAATAATTAAATTTATTACAATAATCATTGATAAACTATTCAACTTACCATACAAAGAAAGCAGCTAGACATCTAGAAGTTAATTTAGATTTGAAAATTATGCGAAGAGTTTCGATTAATCCCGATGGTCTTGTCATCATGTTATGAGGATGTGTCTTAAAGTAGAAGATATTGTGAAATTAACTACCAGCGTATTGAGTATCCTAAATGCAATATTAAAATGATCAACAATATATATAACAATACCTTTCTCAAATTTGCAAAATCAATCTTTTTTTTGTTTGCTTTTGCCATTTTGTCCAGTTCTTTTATCGCTTCATTTGTCCGACCAACTGTCATTAGCCAACGTGGTGATTCGGGGAACAACCTGCAAAGATGTTATTCAGAAGCGCATTGTGAAATCTTGCTTTTCATTGGACACGAAATGGGCCCATAGATTTTGTTGTTGATGATTGTCATGTTAGTATTTCTTTTCTTCTCTTAAAAAATCGCTTTTTTATTACCTACTGCCCAATTTCTTTGTGAAATTTTCATTTGTTAAAGAAGGTATTTTTCGCTAGGAGTCTATTACTTTTTTCATTTCAAAAAATTTTGTGGCCTCTATGAGATTCGTTTTTTGTGAGCAAAGTAGTCATCAAAATTAAGAAAATTGCGCTCTTCGTGGCTGTTACGCTTTCGCATAGGTTCAATTCTGATCAGCAGCTATACGGAATCGGTAGGCTAGTGTGACAAATTTCATATCCTTATTTTGTGTTTTTCATTGAAAAATTTGCTGTAAACAATTTTCATTTATGGAAACACGGTTTTTAATCCGCCAAGCGTGACGACCCTCTTGCGCTGTGATTTAGCAAAATCTTGCGACGCGAAAGTCGGGAAATTTTTCGATATCTTTTTTGACACTCTGTAGGTAGGTACCGTAAGTTACTGTAAAAGGTACAGTACTTTAAATTAATTAATTCTACAGTTGTGAGTCGAAAATCATTTAGCATTTCGATTCACCTCGGCGCATTAGGCATGGATCATCATTGTCGCAGGACCTTCCTCGTAAGGCTGGGGCATTACAGATACGGGTTGGCTCGGCGGTGTGGCGCATCGTGCTAAGCGTTAGGAATACGCTCACCACCGCACCTCTGATTACCCTGCGTGGGTTCGAATTGCATGCAGGGAAAGTTAGGTGAGAGAGGATTACTGGATCTCGCCGCCGTAGAGTGGTTCACGTAACCGCTGGTCGGTTAATACTTCCTCCACCATCAAGTCCATGCTTCCAAAAACAAACAACTGGATAACTAATCCCATTTCCAACATGGACTTGTTATTGGAGAAGGTCGTGATTTGTAATATGATTAATCCGTCTTTTGTTCTTCCACGGAAAAAATATGTAAACCCTATCCTAACGGTACTAGTAAGTTACGGTGGTCCATATAAATTTGAGCATTGCTAACTTGTTCTATTCATATCATGACACTGACAAAATATTCAATGTTGATTACTTCTACAAAAAAAAACATAATATTCGCAGGTTTAATTTAATGTACTGACAAAATTTCAAATGAGCCGGCTAAATCTGGCGTTTAGTCTGTATGTTTCCACGAGCATCGACTTACTTGGCTACTTCCGTAACATTGGCCAATAGCAAAGATGTCAATAGTGACATAACAATTAAAGTTAGTGCAGTCGTTCAGACCCCTTTTTCACTCAGAGACAGACTATTCGCATGGTTGTAAACATTAGCTCGTTTTCAAGGTTTTTAGGTATGTTTCCGAAATTTTCGTATTTCAGAGTCAAAAATTTCAGAGCAATTGGTCCAGTAATCAAAAATGAAAAGCGACTTTTTAGGTTCTCCACTAGGTGTCCAAAAAGTGTCAATGAACAACAACAACATAATATTAAAACGATCGTTATGTCCACTAACGTGTCCAAAAAGCATAACAGATTTTCAAATGGTAAAGTAGATGAAGACTTTTTTGGAATTTAAGGGTCTTGAAAACATTGAGGTAAGTTAGAGTATGAATTTTGTCAACACTTAAAACTCGAAAGTTATTGTGGACTTGCCAGGTGGCAAATTAAACTAAGTAACATTTCATAAATTCGATTATTTAAATGAATAAAAAATATACCAGGTGAAAGTCATACCAGTAGCCCGGTAGATATAGCACGATGGCTATTGTCATAGATGCCCAAAAGTACGAACGCCAGTTTTGCGTGTAATATGAAATCAAAGGAACAATGCAATATCCGACAGAAAATGCATACATTGTACCAACTGCCATAAAATTTCTTGATTTCACCGAAATAACTTCTGTTGCTAGAAAACATTAATGTAAAGATTAATATAAAAGGGTAAAAAAATAGGTAAGCACATGAATAACTGAATTTTACCCAGAACAAAAGCAACAACAAAGTTTATCAATCCAGTCACACCACTCAGATAAACGACGACCAAATATAAGTAGTAGTTCCATGACACAGCCGTCAGGCCCATGGATCCAATCAGAGCGAAAGTGGCAATCAAGTACACTGGTCTTCTTCCATACCTTTGAAATGGACAATGAACTTATTAAAAAAATAATATACTTGAAAAGTAAATACAAAAGTTTTATAGAGATTACGTTGCGTTTCGAGTATGTAAAATATAAGTAATGAACCTAGTTTTTAAAACGGTTTCCGGCACCATGGGTAAATATTTTAAACACATAATCTTATATTCCGAAGTCGCTCCAATTTTACTAATTTTTAATTTACCTATCAGCAAGCATGCCCGCTATCGATCCGCTTGCCATTCCAGATTGGAACACCGTTATAGCCAGAGGTCCTTTCCAGTTATTGCTGCAAACCATTTCAAACTAGAGAATAAAAACATAAAAACAGTAGACTGTACATAAGGCTAGGAGTAAAAAATATAGCGCGATCAATGGGAAAATTATTATCAGAAAGATGTGAGCAGGATGAATTGATTAGGAGGATGAGAACGAGGTTTTATATATATTCATAGGATAGTAGGCATACAGAAAATTAAATGAGAAGAACCCAAGAGGTTCTGTCAGGAAAATGCGTTTAAAAATCTTGTGATTGACACTTACGTCAGTAACAGCAGTATCATGATTGGGCAGTATATCAAATGTGAATCCATTGGTGCATGATATAATGTCTGCAGACTGGTTAATGTGTATTGGAGGCAGCTCTGTAGAATATGATCTGTTATACATGTGACATTTACTTCTAATTGAATTTCCATAATTGTCAGCTTCCCTGGGTATATAATAGTCAAGAATTTTTTCACTGTCGTTCAAGTTCTGCAAAAGAAGAATGAATTTATTTACGTGAAAGCTCATAGCAAATTCTTGCTGAAGTTATTAAATTTCCTTTTAGTTTTATTTAGCTTCTGCTCGTACTGCAGGACGCACAATGCTGCATGATGAGTAGGCTACTTACGTTTTTTAATATGCTTTCAATGCCAGAAGGTAATTTACAACGGTGGTTTGGTTCAAAATGATTTACTGCAAACTGAAAAGTCGTGAAAGCATTTGGGACACAAGATATACACACAATGACATAAATCACTGTTTGGTAACGTCCCCATTTCAACAAATGTTTGAATTCTTCGTCAATATTCATTTTCTTCACTAATGTTATTGGCATTGCCAACGAAATACTTTAAAATAACACAACATAAATTCTATGTCAACTAGTCCAGTGGTTCTCAACCTTTTTAGTTTGGGGAACTGTACAATTTTAAAATTATTTTTGCGGACCGGTGAACCTTCAAAATCATCCCAAAGTTTCTTTATCTGCTGGACCGAGTATAGCGAGCATGAGTGATTTTTTTAGTATTTCGAAGGAAAATCCGGCAGGGATGATGAAGAACAGTTGACATTGACTTTACTCTTCAGGTCCACATGTTTACAAACTTTGAAAAGCAGAAAGCACACATTAACATCCTTTGTTGAAAAATTCGTCCTCATAACGGGTGGAAGAGTTCGAACACCCAATGCGTAATTTCATAGTCCTGGTGCACGAAACTACGCCAGTTACAAGCACCATAAAATAATAATAACGTTCACAAAATTGAGATTTATTTAAAGGCAGCAATTTTTTTTCGTGTAAGTGCGCGTTGAGTTTTTTCCTTGATAATTAGGAGCCGCACGTGCAAAAAGTTTGGGAACCGCTGGGCTAGGTGTTAAACGCGGTTCTAATGAAGTTTCTACAAGACGAAGTAGAGCGTTGATTTCCTCACGATTTTTCTGTTTGGTTTTGATGAGAGATCACGATGAAAAGTATTTATCGCATGAGTATGTTGTACAAAAAATCAGCAGTAATTTAACGGCTTTGTCACTTAGCTAAGCATATTCTTTTTCAAGCGATATCCAAAACTGTGACGACATGGTGTCGTTCTCGAACTCCTTCGTTATGATATTCGCCGTTATGACGTCACAGACTTAACGAAACATCCAGACGTTCAGGGTTCAAAATGGGCGTATAGCCTCTCAGACTAAGTTTGGTTTACGGACCGGCGGTTGAGAACCACTGCACTAGACTGAATAAAATGTTTACCATAACATTATGCAATTATTTTTATCTTACAAAATGTAATTTCAATTTTCTAAAACGGTTTATGATTTGAATCCCGGCTTCTAAATGTTCTACATCATATTTTCATAATAAACATTGTCTGCATTGAAGAATATTAAAATATAGTAGTAAATAATGGCGGTCCTTGTTTGGTATATACATAAGTTGGCTTAGATAAATTCCATGTTTTTTAATAATCTACGATATACATTGTCTTAACTATCTCCTCATTTTGTTTCCGATTTTTCCTCACTTCTTGCAACCTCTTAGTCCTAGGACCTAGATACATATAGAAACTACTTACTCTGGAATAACTGATTCAAACGCATGCGCCAAGACGCGGCGAGGAAATGGAATTACCGCGTCTAAAACGGCATTGCTGATAAACGGAAATGCTCCGAGTGATACTTGAAAGTGACAATCGTTCTTGATTTGAACGCGATTAAAGTTTTCAAATTTGACTTATTTATAAGTAACGTAGCGGGGTTTTAGGCGATGGCGTTCGACGGTAATATACTGTGTACAAAAGACCGTCTTCTTTCTCGCTAAACGACAATTTAATTGACCTTTGAAAACTGGTCAATACTCAGCTATTCTATTCTGTTTCAAATACTACAACTGTTCTGTTCATTTGTATTCAACGCTTGGATGCGAAGATCTCAATACAGTGCACGCGAAGCAACAGACACGGGTTTAATGAACAAGCAATTGAAAACACGTGGCAACATAACACACGCAAGAGTACCACACTGGTGGAATGAACGTAAGATAAACGTATTACGTTACACTTGCCATATTTACAATAAAAAAGAAATTTACGTAGTCAATTTCTTTCGCACCAAATCTGAATACAAGTAAATTCAACGTAAAACGTTGTTACTTGATCTTGGGAAAAATGCAATATATGTAAATGAAAAAAAAAATATTCAAACACGCTGAGCAATGAAATGCGATAATAGCAAAATTCACACAAATGATAACGATTACATTGAAAATATCGATGTAATAAATAGGGGACATTTCATAAATACGCAAGATACAGAAGCAGTATAAAGCATCACTAATTCATTAACATGAAAATCGTTAGAAAGAGCCGTTTTATATTATACTGCCTTTCCATTAATTTTCGAGATTTGTCAAGACGCTTCCGCGCATTTAAAGCACCGTAATCTTTTTAGACCTAATATCTAATGCACTATCAATTTCACGAGAAATACTTCCGTGGGAATTGTTAGCTATCGGGTCTGTTGAATCTGTCAGGTCAAAAGGAGTATCCTTTGGTACAATTCCGTAAGCCAGTGTATCGAATGGAATGTCAGTCAAATCATGTACGGCAGTATTCAGTGGTGGGATTCAGCCGGTTCGCACCGGTTCTATAGAACCGTCTCACGGAATTTTATAAGATCAGCGAACCGGTTAGCAATACTGAAAAAACATGACTTTTTGTAACAGAACCGGCTCAAAAAATATGTGATGGAACCGGCTAACAAAACATTTGAATCCCACCACTGGCAGTATTGTAAACATAACATGCCAAGGGTGAAACCAGATCCCAATATAATTTTTAGAAACCGTCAAATGTGACAATATCTTTCACAACGTTCTTTGACATCTTTCTGTACATCCGTTACCCAGTGGATGAAAAGAAGTCGTTTGGGTTTTCTTGATGCCATACTCCTTACACATATTTTTTAAAAATAACACTTTCAAAATTTGAACCTAAATCAAAATGCAAAATTTTCGGTGGAGTATGATTACAAATGCACGGAGGTATCGTAAAAATCCATTAAAGTTGTCAATCATAGATAAAATATATATATTTATTGCCGGAATTGCTCCTTGATATCCTGATATCATCACACTTTATTCGCTTCTTAATGCCACTCTCGATTCCTCGACATAGCTTACCGAGAAAACATACCCACTTAAACAATATATACTATATAAAATCAAACAAGTGATCCTGTTCAAATATATGATTATGGACACGAAAGCCAAAACTAAGTAGTAGGAGTTTTCAAAATCTGTCACTCACAGTAAACAAAATCGCACACAAAAAACGAATCCCGAGACACCACAAAATATCTTGAAATAAATAAGCGTAATAGCCTTCTGGCGGACAATTACAATTATCAACCACTGAAAATTTCCTAGCAATTGGTCCAGGTAATGATAAAAGATATTATTTTATGACAAAAACAAGAAAATGAATTCTAACAAAAAAAATAATATCGATTTGTATGTCCACTTTGTGTCCAAAATATCACTGTCATAGCAAAAATTTATTGCATTGTGAAAGGAGAATCCGTTCACATGTCTTCATGTAAATTTGATCGGAATTTGGATGCGGAAAACTCCTCTGAGCTATGTGCTCTTTCTGAAGCAGCGGATGTTGTTGGGACACATGGTACTTTTGAACGACAACAGCTATGTTTGGATACATTTTTGTTTTGTTGCCACCATTGCAGCATTTTTTCTTGAGTCGCTGATATGACAAGAGTCCCGTAATTCAAATATTTTGAAATCTCATCTGAAGCTTTCACCTCCCTAGATAATTCACCAATGTCGCCGCCACTCTCTTCGGAGCTGTCCATACCGTTATGATCAGATTTTCAATACATGCTTCGTTAGTTCTATGGAGGAGTTCTTTTGCTATTCTGGTCTGTTGGACTACATGCTGTTTCATCTCTGAGGTGTGAAACTTTCTACTTCAAAACGCAACAAGATTTCAACATTTTTTGTTGCCATTTGCTCCAAGTAAATAAGAGTTATGAACGTAATAACTAAAATATTCAAGAAATGGTCAAAATGTGGCATGTGTCCTTGACCCGCGCAAACGAGCGAGAAGGTGCTTGTAGAAATATAGTTAAGTTTGTGTCGTTGTAGCAATTCCACATGGCAGTTTATACATATATGTGGACTTTTCACAAAACGTAATACCTTGTTTGCAAGCCAAGATTTACCGAAAATCGATTCCACGAAGAATCGATTCTGGTGTAGCATAAACACCCCAGATTTACCCCAATTTCGGTTAAAATTAAAAAAAACAACGTCAATTTTTCCGAAATTCTAACAAAGACTTTCGTAGGAATCAAATTATAGAACTTTAGGTTTTAGGAACATGTTTCGTCCTGTTATTATCAAGTTAAAATTCATTTTCTCAGGATATTTAAACACAAATTGGAATAATTAGATTGAAGTTCTCAACCGTACGAAGTACATAATTACCGGTATTAAGATAATAAGAGTTTCTGCTATAATGTCAATCACGGAATCACGTTTTCAATATTAATTAGATGTTTGATGAACGTATAAATACAACTCGATATCTTTTCAATGTTAGATATTATTACTGTTTGATTAGGAATAAGAATCGATGTAAGAGGGTATATATTGTAATCTGTGTATATCGTCGGAATTGCAATAAAACTCATAAAGTGTTTCAATCGGTCAGTGTTTTCTGCTTTTCAGTGTTTTCTGCTGTCGGTGGCTATCGTCAGGTTAACAACTTGGGACAAGACTCTTGTCAGTCAAAACTGGTGTCTGACTCAACAAATCAGATCAATGAATGAACAATTAATGTGTAGTGAGAACTAATCCCTACACTGGAATCGATTCGGCCATCCCTACTTGTAAACGAGTTTTCCTAACACCAAAATGTCCTGAAGTACTTTTATCGTTAATTGTCAATAAACTGTCCACAAACTAATCAAATTAACGCTTGGTGGAGAATATAAGACATAAAATTGCCGATGCGCGTTGTTTTCGATGAATGTACAATGGGCACCAATCTATGATGTTCTAATACCCCGCAGCTGCTCATCTTGGATAACATGAGAAATGTGCTGGCTGAAAATCTCTCTTTAGTGAACTACTCTTTGGATGTTGGCGATAAACTGTCCATAAACTAACCAAATTAACGTTTGGCGGAAATTATCATTGCACACCTTGCAGTTTGTTCAATTCAAAACGCATCGCCATAGTATTTTGTAGGACGAGGCTACTCTATTAACGCCTACATAATCTCAAAAACAGCTTTTGATTGAGATGTGAGAGATGACTCGTAACAAGCGTAAAGTGAATTTAATAAAATATCATGATATGAGCATCATTCACCCGTATGCCCTTTTTTTATTTACATTCATAAAAATTCATAGAACAATGGCAAGCATTTACAAGGCTGTCAATTCCGTCTTTGGGTGTTCATTTTTGCTTTAAGTGTTATCTTCAGTTGACTTGAATTTTCGAAATATATTGAGGCCATAGTATCTGTGAAAAATTCACCAAAAATAATCAATGCACACAATTAGTTCAACTTTTTATGTAGCCTAACTATTACTTTAATTTGCATGCACAAATTCACTGTAACATAACTCACTATTATATTATGAAAGCCAATAAAAAAACATTTACCGTTTATTATTCTCAGCTTGTTGAACTGTATCTGGCATCCTCACTCTCATTGTTTCCGGAATGCAGAAGATCCCAATAATTCCACTCAGAATAGTAATCCCACCCATTATCCAGTTAGGTATGGTGTATTCAATTTTACCTATATTCATATGATAATGGAATAAATAAATACAAAGAGTCAAAAATGAAGCAACAAAAATTTGGCTGAAAAATCGGGTCTCATAGGACACAGGTGAGGTTTGAAAAACAAAATTATAGCTCCAACTTCTTTCACGTATATGTAGGCTATTATAAATTTTACAAAACGATTCATTTGTACACGGTCCTATATCGTGTTTACTATTATTCATAAAAACGCATTCGGTAAAATAAAGCTTTTCAATACGTTTAGATTAGTAAGTGAAGGACTGAAGAGTAAGAAAGTATTTACAGCAGGCTCTCGCTACTCCGGGTTGAAAAAAAATCGACTCCGACTATCGACTTCAAATCGGAAAAACAGGGCGCTAGGTATATAAATTTTGGCTTCAATTATAACCATTCAAAGTTTGAAATTACGACTCCCCACTGTGAACAAATTCTCTATAAATTGAACAAGGATGAAGTAATACGCTATTTACTAAATTATTTACGATGATAGAGTTAAATACCATAATGTAACTAGTGCAAGACTTACCCATTAACATGACAGATGGAGCGATAAACGCCCCGACACGAGAACAGAATGATGCTATACTCATTGTTGCACTTCTTTGTAGAGTGGGGGCTATTTCGGACGTGCTCAGGTAGATAACATAAAACACTGCACTTACGGCGCTTTTTCCGATAATTGAGATTATTGTTCTGGCCAATGAAAGATCTAGATAAAGAAATAATAGTTTTGATAAATTCCTTTTCTTCAATTATATATCTGAAAAAATCCAACCTTTACGAAATATTTAAATAAATTGAACGAGACTTAGTGGGCGTTAAAATATTCGATTGCACATATGAACCAAATGATTTTTTAAAATACTTTACTAACTGCATGTTACGCGATATCTCTCGAAAGCGAGGTTGAATTTGCTCCAAATTTCGCATGTGCATTCATCATATCTAGGGCCCGACCGATACTGCCTTTTTAAACCGATACCGATAGTTTTCTAAAACTAGGCCGATAAGCCGATACCGATGTTTCCTCACCTAAAAATATAGCCACAAGTAACAAGCAACACTCTGAGAATATTGTGTTTTTCTTGCAAAAGAAGTGAAATCTATAACAAAATGTTGAAACTCATGCCATGATGACAGAAAATTGCATAAAATATACATTTACTTTTTTCTTTGTGAATCTTAAGTTTAAAGTTTAGAGATTTTCAACACCTTATGTTAAAAATCATTAGTGTAAAGCCACAGTGCCGAAGTAAATTGTGTGCGTGGCAAGAAAGAACACTCATTGTGAGGGCAGGAAGCTTATGAATCTCAATAGCTCCAGTTCAACAGTCTCAGGTGTAGTTGAACATAATTTTTCTGCATTGGCTCCAATCATACTTGCCTTTGTGTCTTGCTTTTAGACGGCTCTACCAATTTGCTGGTGTTTTTTTTAAATCGGCGAAACTTTTTGACTTAATAACGATAAGCATATTTTACAAATTACACCATCATTATGGCACAAGTATTCCCATACTTTGCTCTTACCGCTGGAACCAGTCATCTATATTCTATAACGTATCAATACAAGAAGTTAAATCGCGCCCTGAACGACGAAAGCGCAAGGGAAAATCAAAGGCCGTGAAAAGTGGAAACGGTGAGAATTCTTTATTAGTCAAGGCATATTATTTGACACAAATAAATCGTTCATATGTTTCTCTTGCTTCAATTTGCAAGGCCACGACGCTCGCAAACTTGCTTACAAAGAGTTAAATCCCGTGCCATACGTGGGTTTTAGATAAGAGAAACATAGTCAAAAGAATTATTTATTAATCAACGTATATCATTTGACACAAATAAGTGGTTCACGCGTTTCTCTCTCTTCAATTTGCAAGCCACCGCGCTCGTAAACTCGCTTACAAAGTAAGACATAGTCAAAAGCCGCTTTTTGATAAGAGAGAAATAGAAGTAACGAAGAAAAAGAGTATTAGGCAGAACCGCTCTCAATTAAACAAGCGAAAAAACTACTTTAACGGCGTGAATTTGACATTTTGGCAGTCCCGTGATTGGCCGATATATATCGGTAAAATTAGCCGATACCGATAGTTCGAAATTTGTGAAAAGCACGGCCCTAATCATATCTCGGACCAGGAGCCTATTAATAATTTGGATGAATTATTTCGTATAATTAGCTTATTTAGAGTTATTAAATAAATAGTGACGGGGCACGCGGTGTCGCTATTGAGTCAGAGCGAAATAATCGAAACCGCAGTTTCTGTTTTGAGGGACCCCCTAACTTTCGTCGCTTTAAATTTTTTTTTTTAGATTTAGATTTTTTGCGAACGATTGTGTCCGTAACAATGCCCTGTCTGCGATGCGGAGTGTTTAGGTATTTTGGTTACACGCCGCTTCGACTTCGTGAGGCTGGTCGGGTAAAATATTGAACATGCGGAAGATCGATAAGTCGGCGGTCTCCGATCGATATCTAGTTAAGCCATCATCCATTACCAAACAAAACTTTATTACCCAACGAATTGCATATGACGGCACAGTGTTCGGCAGAAATGAAAAGATATCTAACCTTCTGGTAAATACGGTAGGATGATGCTGAAAATTCCGCATGTTAGAAGAAAGAAAGTAGTAGATCTCTGACGGCCGATTATTTTCACCGCATAAAAACTACTGACATATGCTGGAATTTCCGCCAATGCACAGAATAATGTGTTTAGGTAACGATCATCACTGAAGCTCTTTGAGTAAAAAGATATTGCGTAGTAAACGAGACCTGCTACAAACCTACAAAAATAAAAAAATATATTCAATCTCATACGTTTTGTACATTTGGTGATCCTTGACTGGAGTGGGATAAAATATTTAACTGAAATGAATATCATGAAGCCAAAATATTACAAAATGTATCTTATGTATTTCTGGAAATGTTCAAATATTATAAAAAGATATAAGCTGATATGGTATTGTGTGTGGCCGAGGTTCTCAAAGTGGGCATCGCAAAAGTTTTTTCTTTTGCAGAATTGTACCAATTTGCGGTCCGTAGAAAAAGTCTAAAAATAAAATTGCACTGCAGAAATGTACAAGCGTAAAATGATACCGAACAGTAAAGTCTGAAGGAAAACTTTCCCAGTATGATGAAAACTATTTGGACTTTTGATCGTTCAAGTTTAGAATAAAAAAGCTCCGTGGTTTTTGTTGCAACTGGGGATGCAATGTTACCAAATGTCGTTTAGGTAACATGCTTCAACTAGCCATCTTGCTACAAACAAGACATTGCGAGTTTTCTTCGCCATTTTATCGATCGAATTTTAATTCTGAAATTTTGATGAGATTTGGATTTCCTTGGATAAAGATTATCCTTTCTAGGTTAAAAAAGCGTTGCACACTCTCATCCCCTTCGTATTTACGTGAAGCAGGCTTTCGTACCATGACCGTAATGAGAGCAAAATATCGCTTTCGAGTGAATGTTAAAGGGAAATTCTTACGGCTTTCACAATTAACCCCATGGTTCAAAGACAATTGGGAAAAGAAGTACACCATCACATTAAATACGATTTTACTTACTTCCGTTATGTTTTGTTTGTTTGTTTAAATAGAACCAGTTGCAAGAAAGGCATTTTATTGAAAGGCATTAAGACGTTATTCATGCCTCACGGGGAGTCGCAACTAGAGCATATTTTTTCGAGGGCGTCACAATACAAAGAAGTTTGAGAACCACTGGTGTATGGTATTTGTGATAAATCTTTATAATAAACAGCTGGAAACCCAGATCATCCCGTGTTGTTATGCCTATCAAAACCTCTGTCAGATTAAAAAAGAAATTAAATAGGTTTAAAGTTGACATCCAGTCTTAACATTAAACTGATTAAGAGGTCACTTTGCTGCCAGTTCCTGTTTATTAAAACGGAGATATTCAGATTGTTCAAGACCACAGATTTTTTAAATATGTTTTTGTGCAATGGGGCTCATCAATTTTTATTGCAAAGATGATCATCACTATGTTACGATATTCCTATGTTGAAAGATTTGAAAAAAACGAATTTTTTTCTTATTTTTATCAAAACTTCTCGACCTCTTGTTGAACATTCCCAGCAACAATAATTAATGTTATTAGAATATTCAATAATAAACTATTCTACTTACCATACAAAGAAAGCAGCTAGACATCTAGAGGTTAATCTAGATTTAAAAATTGTGCGAAGAGTTTCGATTAATCCTGATGATCTTGTCATCATGTTATGAGTATGTGCCTTAAAGTAGAAGATATCATGAAATTAAATACCAGTGCATTGAGTATCCTAAAATGCAATAATGAAGATTATTAACAGTATAACAATACCTTTCTCAATTCTGCAAAATCAATCTTTTTTTTGTTTGCTTCTGCCATTTTCTCCATTTCTTTTATCGCATCATTAGTCCGACCCACTGTCATTAGCCAACGTGGTGATTCGGGGAACAGCCTGCAAACGGTGTTAAACAGAATCGCTTTGTGAAATCTTGCTTTTCATTGGACACGAAATATACACATGTTTTTTTGTGTGCAATGGCGTCATCAAAATTAAAAATGCGCTCCTTGTGGATGATCCGCTCTCGCGTAAGTTCTAATGTGCGCAGCTGCGATACGATATCAGTAGGACTAATGTGGCATATTTCATACCCATATTTAGTATTTTTCATCTAAAATATTGCTGTTACTGAATTGTATTCAAGGGAACACGGTTTTTAATCCGCCAAGTATAACGGCTGTCTTGCGCTTTGATATCGCAAAACCTTGCGACGCGAAAGTTTTTTGATACTGGTGGCGGTGACATTCTGTAGGTAGGCACCCCAAGTTATTGGTAAAGTATCCTACTTTAAATTAATTAATATTACAGTTGTGAGTCGGATCCTTCAGCATTTCAATTCACGTCGGCACATTACGCATGAATCCTCATTGTCACATGAACTAATAAAGCTAGGGCAGCCATTACAAATAGGCTATGGACCGGTACCAGTAGGTTACGATGGTTCACAATTTCAGCTTTGTCCAGGATATGATTTTGGGGCAAATTGTTGCTAAAATATTTCGTTTTTGTGTCCATAAATTTGAGCATTGCCCACTTGTTCTATTCCTATCATGACACTTACGAAATATTTCATGTTCCCTACTTCTACGCCATAACATACGCAAGTTTAATTTAATATATATACTGACAATTTAAGATTTTACATAAGGCGGCAAAATCTGGCGTCTAGTCTGTATGTTTCCACGAGCATAGACTTGCTTGGCTACTTCCGTAACATTGACCAGTAATTAAGATGTCAATGTTGGCATAACAATTGAAGTCAGTGCAGTCGTTTAGGACCATTTTTCACTTAAAGACAGTTTTTTCGCATGATTGTAAACATTACCTCAATTTCAAGATTTTACAAGCAATTTGTAAGTTTCAGGTATGTTTCTGAAATTTGAGTATACATCAAAAAATTTAATGATCTCTTTATTTTCCGAAGATTTTTTAGCTGCAGTAATCAAAAATTATTCTCTAAAGCAGGGGTGTCAAACTCACGGCCCGCGGGCCGCATGCGGCCCCAGTGAACTTCCAATGCGGCTCTCGAACGCTCAACAATAATTGTAATATTTTGTAAGTTTTTTTTTTTAAATGTAATACATTTTTCAAACCTTTCAATGTGAAATTAATTTTTCACACAGAAAACGACAATTCACTGAAAGTAGTTTTAAAAAAGGAATTTTTTTTTTGTGTTTTCAATTTGACGCAATTATAAATACACCCCACTCAAGCTAGCAAAAGAATGCTTGAAAAAAACACTTCAGAAATTGAATGAACCGCAAAGTACATGCAGAAGGTGGCATTTTTTTTTTAGAAAAATGGGAGTTGCAATATTTCTGCAATTCTCAAAATTTTTAAGCACTTTGTTTAATTCGTCACATTTCCATCAGTACAATGAAAAAATAAAATATAAGTAGACATTATCAGAATAAGATCAGCAGTCAATATGAAAAATTTAAAGATAAACTTTAAACATAAAATTTCCACGTGTTTGCATATTTTTATAAATATACAACTACCTAGTTACTAAAAATTAATATATCAGTCATAGCTCAAGTGGTCCTACACCACGTACTTATAGGAAATGTCGCGAAATGTACAGTGGGGAATGTCTGGTCCGAAAAGTCAGTCATTTGTTCGTTTATGAAATGATTCATCGAAAACTAGTTGTACTATGGTTGCATTACTGGAACGATGCCCTAAGTCTCAACGATCCAGATTAACCTATAATCATGTGACATCGTTAGTTAGAGTTGGTACTGTAAAATCATTTCAGCTTAATATTAGTAAGCTGGTGGCACAAAGGAGATGCACAATTCCCAAAATGCGATGCGGCCCTCGAAAACCCGCGAGTTTGACATCCCCGCTCTAAAGTCAAAATAATTCAATTAAAATGTATGTAGATCTAAATCTATGTCCAAAACTTTTAAATAGCAGGATTAAATAATATTTCGAAACAAATTAAACAATGCAGCGTTTCGTAAATTTGATTATTTAAATGAATAAAAAATATACCAGGTGAAAGTCATACCAGTATCCCGGTAGATATAGCACGATGGCTATTGTCATAGATGCCCAAAAGTACGAACGCCAGTTTTGCGTGTAATATGAAATCAAAGGAACAATGCAATATCCGACAGAAAATGCATACATTGTACCAACTGCCATAAAATTTCTTGATTTCACCGAAATAACTTCTGTTGCTAGAAAACATCAATGTCAAGAATCATATAAAAGACTAAGAAAACGGGTAAGCACATAAAAAACTGAATTTTACCCAGCACAAAAGCAGCAACAAAGTTTATCAATCCAGTCACACCACTCAGATAAACGGCGACCAAATATAAGTAGTAGTCCCGTGACGCAGCCGTGAAGGCCATCGATCCAATCTGAGCGAAAGTCGCAATCAAGTACACTGGTCTTCTACCATACCTTTTAATTGGACAATAAACCTATTTAATAAAATAAAACGGTTTCCGAGGCACCATGTGTAAATATTTTAAACACATAATCTTATATTCTGGAGTCGCTTCAATTTTACTAATTTTGAATTTACCTATCAGCAAGCATGCCAGCTATCGATCCGCATGCCATTCCAGATTGAAAGACCGTTATCGCTAGAGGTCCTTTCCAGGTATTGCTACAAACCATTTCAAACTAGAGAAAAAAAATTCAGTATCAGCGCCATTAGAATGAAAATTATCATCAGAAAGATGTGAGCAGAAGGAATTGATTGGGAGAATGGGAACAAAGTTTTAATATTATTCAAAGGAAATCATATGCGATACGGTAACTTACTGGTACCGTACCTGCTGTAGCTGTAGGTCTGATATTCGAACGCGTAAATGAGTTAAAAAAAGTGTTTTTATGAGTAAAAATTAATACAGCGAAATTCTGGATGAAATATCAGATCTCATAGGATTCATAGAAAATTTGGGAATAAATAAATAGCCTTCTAGCAAAAATATCAATCTCTACCCAGTGAAAATTTTAAAGCAATTGGTCTAACTCTAGTAGTTAAAGTGAAACGCGATTTTTTCATAAAGATACAAAATAAAAAATAAAAAAAATACCAAACGATCCATAGGTCGACTACGTGACCAATGAAATGAGAAGAAACCAAGCAGTTTTGTAAGGAACATAATTAGCACTTACGTCAGTTACTGCAGTATCATGATTGGGCAGTATATCAAATGTGTATCCATTTGTGCATGATATAATGTCTGCAGACGACTGATTAATGTGTATTGGAGGCAGTTCTGTAGAATATGATCCGTTATACATGTGACATTTACTTCTAACTAAATCTCCATAATCGTCAACTTCCTTGGGTATATAATAGTCGAGAATTTTTTCACTGTCGTTCGAATTCTGCAAAAAAAAAAGAATAAACTCATTTATGTAAGATCCCATAGCAAATTTTTGCTAGAGTTAATGAATATCTTATTACTTTCATTTATCTTTTGCTCGTTCTGTATGACGCACTAGATTACATAAAGAGTACTTACGTTTTTCAATATGCTTTCAATTTCAGGAGGTAATTTACAGCGGTGGTTTGGTTCAAAATGATTTACTGCAAAATGCAAAGTCGTAAAAGCATTTGGGACACAAGCAGTAAACACAATGGCATAAATCACAGTTTGGTAACGTCCCCACTTCAACAAATGTTTAAATTCTTCGTCAATATTCATTTTCCTCACTGGTGTTTTATGTTATTGCCACCTAAATACTTTAAAATAACACAACATAAATTCTATGTCAACTAGACCAGTGGTTCTCAACCTTTTTTAGTTTGCGGACAGGTAACATTTTAAAATTATTTTTGCGGACCGGTGAACTTTCAAAATCATCTCCAATCAAAAACAGGGACATTCAAATTAATGAGAAATCTGCTACTGTATTTTCGATATAATAGGGTACGCCAGCGGTTTCCAGGGGGGGCGCCATGGCAATTTGCTGAGTGTGCGTCGAAAATTAACAGAATTGTTTTAGACATAACTAATATAAGATTGAATATTTTTCATATTGCATTTGAGATTATTGTTTTGTTGTTTCTCATTTTTAATGCTGTGTATATAAATCAATTTCTACGTCATTTACTCTCTGTTACGAAGTGTCTCCCTGTATTGTTACCTTACTGTTACGTAACAATAGAGGTATACACTACTTTTTGCAATTCGGAAGCTGCGGTTTCTTTATCTGCTGAACCAATTTTAACGAACAGGAGTAATTTTTTTGAGTATTTCAAAAGGAAATTAGACAGAGATGAAGAAGAAGAGTTGGCATTGTCTTTACTTTTCAGGCCTACATGTATACAAACTTTGAACAGCATAAAGTACACTTTGAAATAGTCCTGGTGCACAAAACCACACCAGTTATTGCTTGAGCATGGGGAACATGCAATACATGCAAATGAAAAAAATGAATATTGCACTAATGCACTATCAATTTCACGAGAAATACTTCCATGGGAATTGTCGGCTATCGGGGCGGTTAAATCTGTCAGGTCAAAAGGTGTATCCCTTGATACAATTCCGTAAGCCAATATGATGGGGGGAATGTCAGTCGAAGCATGTACGGCAGTATTGTAAGCATAACATGTCTGTAACAACGTTCTTTGGCATCTTTCTGTACATCTGTTACCCATTGGATGAAGAAAAAAGTCGTTTGGATTTCTTGACGCTATGCTCCTTACACACATCTTTAAAAATAAAACTTTTAAAATTCGAACCTAAATCAGAATGCAAAGTTTTCGGAGAAGTATGATTACAAATCCACTCAGATACAAAGAAAAGGAGTTATCGTACTGACTCTTTGGAATCGTTACACAACGAAAAAATCTACTAAATTTGTCAATCATAGATAAAATATATTTAATGCCGGAATTGCTCTTTGATATCGTGATAACATCACAACTTATCCGCTCGTTAAAGCCACTTAAAACTGTTGGAACCAGATGTGCTTCACGGACGGGAACTGGATTTTTCTACGCTGACAGTTCACACAAGACTTATTAAAATCATTTACATCTTAATATAATGAATGCCAATAATGAAATTACATAGTTCGTGAACGTGTTCTCCTAAAACCAAAATGTCCTGAAGTACTTTTATCGTGAATATGATGAAGTGCTAGGGCCCAGGGGTATCAAAACTTTAAGAACTACGATTCTGTATAAATCTTTTCAAAGTTTTGAATCTCCAAAACGTCTATACAATACGTCATCAGTGATTTTCAAATCATCAAATAACGACCACAGGGTCTTCAAATCTGGAGAGAAATTCTCAATCTCGTCTATTTCGGATCCTAATTTATTTTTCAGCCGTCACAATATATATAACGGAAATACATGAATCTGCCTGTTGGTGTCTCATTAAATAATAATTATATACTGAAAACAGAATCATTTGCAACTGAAACTTCGTGAATTTCAGTTTGGGGAATTCTAGACAAGACATCAGTATTGCCATGTAATCTACCTGGTCTAACAATTACACCAAAGTGATATTCTGCAAGAATATCTCGCCACCAACAAAACAATCTACAAGAAACTTTGAAAAGTTTTAACCATTGTAATGAATCCTAATCTGTACGTATGGTAAACTTCTTTCCAACCAAGAAAGTTCGAAAATGTTGAACAAAGTATACAATAGCATACAGTTCTTGCTTGGTTGTGGACTAATTTATCAGGGCTTTATTAAGAGCCAAATTACCATACGGAATAATGCGCAATTCGCCATATTGTTTTTGACCTAAAACGGCTCCAATAGCTATAGCGAAGGAAAGGTTAAAATGGGGAAGGAAGTAAATTTTTCCTTCAGCAAACGAAATGCCTCATCAGCTCCTTGAGACCATATACAAAAGTCCTCTAAATTCTTATAAGTTAGTTTGTACAATACATCAGCAATGTGTAAAAATGATTTAACAAAACGCTTATAAAACGTCAAAAATCCTAAAAATGATTTTAACTCAGTAACATTCCTCAATGCAGGCCAATTTTTTACCCCAAGAATTTTCTCAGCATCTGATGAAGTGCCATCACTACTAACATCTTGACCAAGAAATTTTACCTTACTACACAGAAGCTTTGATTTATCGGAATTGAGCTTCAATTCCGCGGCACGAATCCGCTCAAAAACACGGCAAATTCTAGACTTCAATTCAGTCCAACTTGAAGCACAGCTAGGTCATCTACGAAGCAAACACAAATTTTATACTCTAATCCTTTCAAAATACGTCTCATTAATTTAACAGAAACAGTAGGGGCAGGAGTCAAATCAAATGGAAGTACATGAAATAGATAGACTACTGCGAAGTAGATGTAACAAAACTTGTCTTGTATTTAATATTTATCTTTCTCAGCTATGTGAATTTGATAATATGCAGTGTAAAATCCAGACAACGAAAATGTTTTACACCACCAAGGACATCTAAAACATCATTAATTCTAGGTATGGATGTATTTTGCTTTACTGTAACTTCTTTTAAAAATCCGTGTTCACAGCAAATTCTCGAAGACCCATTTGTCTTACTTACGGGTACAAATAGGGCATGAAAATGGACTTTCATATTCTTGGATTATACTATTATCTAGCAATTCTTGTATTTGTCTTCTTATTTCACTTCTAAAGCAAGCGGCACACGCCGAAAATTTGTGAATTTTCACTTCAAACTAATCTCAAGTGGATTTCTTTTCGTGCTTCTGGTCACGTTAATTTTACAAGGATGACCTGCATTGTTTTCAACAAATATACAGTCATTGGGTGAAGCATAAAAACCTCAGCCAAACATATTACAGGAGTAAATCCCCCAAGTGCTTGATTTCTATTAACATTCAATGACAACGGTCCTGGGTTCATAATACGAACCGGTATTTGGGCATCAATAGAATAGGAAATCAAATTTCGAAGAGCCGAATCCTTTTTCTGCAAGCAAGGGAGGTCTATTTTCAAAGTAACCAAAAATACGGGTCGGTATAGTACCACTTGACCTATCAGAAGACACAGATTAAAAATCAGTCTCAGTAATATTATTGGTGCTTATATCTGTGTCATTATAGTCATCACCCATCAGACTTCCCATTAAGACGACAGTTTCAGAAGGTCGTATTACGACTTCATCAATTGAAGACACTTTGTGAGTGCGCATTGAATTTGGGGTAGTTTCGCATGTAAAATAAACGCAGATCTGCCCAATCTTAAGACTGCAGTCATTGTAATCAATAATTTGGGAATAAGAAATCGTAAGGAAATCGTTTCCTAACAATATCTTATCGACATTAATTAACCTTAATGTCTTCTTCTACAAAAAAAACACGTATTTTAGGTCTACCCACGTATTTTAGGTTCTCCTCTATAACATTTAAACCTCTGATTAACAGATTCTATGTCGTGACTTTTGCTAGCTTTTTTCCACAGCGAGGATGAAATGAAAGAGGCACCAGCACCACAGTCTATAATAATGTTTGCATACAAATTATCTCCGATCAAAATGTCGGTATAAGTGTACAAATTTTCCCGCATTCGGTATAAACATTGGAAAGGGTGTTAGAGACTTTTTTCTAGCATATTCTTCATATAGCTCATTTTAGTTAGTTAGTCGAGATTTTTTCATTTACAGGCTGTTTAGCCTATTTGATTCAAGCTCTACATTCTAATCTATTTCTCGGGTTGGTGACTGGCCTTGTTCACCAACCCCTCCGTGTTTAACACAGAGTCAACATCGGATTTAGACTGTCTATCGTCTACCTGCTTGATATTACGATATTTACCCAGAGCTTTCTGCAAAGCAAAACGTATCTCGTCTGTATGGTTAGACTTCCCATAGTAACTTCAACCACCAGAATAACGGGGTTTTTATGCGCCAGATAAGGTACTTCGGCCACGTCCACGGTTACAAGGGCCGCGACCACCACAGAGACCATTTTGTTTTCTGCAATAGTTTTGATGTCTGGGATCGCCATTACAACTACCGCTATATCTTAACTCTGAGCTCATCGCATTAATATGTGAGATTTGTGGTCAATTTGGATCCACGCAAACAGCTGTATATTTGTCGGTCTCAACTGCTCGATCAGTTGAACACTTATTAACATACGCTCGTAAATGCTTAGCTATAGGTTCAGCCATTTAGAAATTCCTGAGCCCTGGGGTTTCTAATTTCATTCAAAAATTGCTGACATATTAAACGTTTTGTAGCTGGTGATTGTTCATAGGCCAAGTAAGTCTAACAATCGAGATCTCGGGCATAAGTATTTAACACTCACCCACTAGCTGTAAACGATCTCTAAATTTCTTATCGGGGTTTCTTTCACCAGCCACACAGAAAAACTGTATCAAGTATTACAATATATTGAATATAACATCAGAATTATATATATCTTGGAGCGAAATAAATTTTCAAATGGCCAATAATCTTTGCATCAATAAAGCTATATAATCAAATTACCTTTGCGTGGTTATCTTTAGCTCTGGTATGGGACGTACTTGATTTGAATCAAAATGCGAAATTGTTCAGGTCATCACCATCATGAAAACTTTGATACTACGCTTACGCATTTTTGATGCTGAATGAGCTCTATCGTAAATTTCCTGTGGAATATCAGGACTAGGTCCCTCGATATAACCCGGTACAAATTGTACAGAAATTTGTTGGATGAATTGTTGTTAGGGTGGGCTGTTGGAACCCCTAGTAAAATGGGTTTTGCGCAGAAA